AGATAGGGACATAAAATTATAGTTTTATAGCATAAGCATACCTTTTATTTACGGTGGAATGCGATTTGCCCTGAAGTGTCAGGTTAATTTTTTCCGCGTATTAGCCATCTTGTTTTAGTGCTAAGACTATAACTTCATTTGTTTTGGTTTTATTTTACTGCATCGAATCTAACATATCATTATTTGTGTAGATTCTGGACTACTCTAAAGAAGTCAGGATCAAATACTCAGGCAAAGTGTCTATCAATTCAATGACCATGGCCAGTTACTCGCTCAAGACAGAACAACAATAAATTCTTTCTCTTACGAAATTGTTTTCCTCATTCTAGCGATCAGCAAGGGTATTGTAACTGGGTACTGTAGTATTGTGACCGTTTATTTTTTGCTACAATTTTACTCACCGATATATAAATTTCAATTGGCGAAGTGAAGACTTTTTTTAGGTTTTATAGGTCGTGATGATTTTTTAAAAAATATTTGCTGAAATTTTGTTCATGCTCCAGTTTGATTTTTCGCGGTTTCTATTTTCATTAGTGAAAAATAAAGTGGACTCCTCCATCGATCAGCGAAAGTGTTAAGGTCGCACAAAATGTGATCGACTTCTATTTTCGAAAGAGGATTTTAATTTTCAAACAGCCAGCGGATTAAAGAGTTTATTCATTGATCCATATTCCCAAGTTGGGTTAACTATATCAAAAAGTGCCATTCGTAATATTTTCTTGGAGTTAAAGAGATTTGAGGGCATATATATTTTTCTGAAATTCGAAAGAATCGTTTTTCCAGATTCGAAAGAAATTTTTAATTTTGATATACCAACGGAATGGAAAAACTATTTATTGACCCAGTTTTCTCTAATTTGATTTCTTTCCACTTGCTAGAAAAAAATGACTTGTAACAGGAACTAGACTTTTTTCCACGTAAACAACTTTTTTACAGGCGACAGTCTCAGTTTCGATTCCCGGCTGGACCTTGTTTTCTTTTCACCTTTTCACTAGCTCTAGGGCCCTTCTCACTAGGTTCAAGGCCCTTCTCAAAGACCTTCTCATGAATGTATGTTTACTCTGCTTGATTATTGATGCTCGTCACCTTTTAAAGCCTTTCTCTTTAGGTCTAGAGGTAAAGCACGCGACTTCAGAACACAAGGTCTGGGTTAGAGTCCTGGCCGGACCTTATCTTTTTTCGATGTGAAAATTTTTTTGAAACGTTGAATTAACGGATTTTTGTTGTCTATTTATTTTGCCGGCTTACTGTCCAAATTAAGGAGTTTTTATTCTTCATCAATACTTTTTCTTGTTTCGACCTTTTTAATTGTATTTTGAAGTCATTGTAGTCTGTCCAATTTTGATCTTATATAATTGTATGCTATTTTTCTTTGCTTAAATGGGATCGGTTTTTTCTATATTGACTTGATTGCCTCATTTTGCGTCGGTTAAGCTGCAAAAAAGATTTATGCATTTGTGTGATTCAGAGAATAGAGCGTACAACTTTGAATTTCATATAACATCTCAAATTTTTCTGACATCTGTTTTTAGCCCAACTGGCGTCAACCTAGTATTGAGGGATTAGTTGCACTCGGTAAATGATTCTGAATGCGCATACACTGTTGGTGTTTGTGCTCCCCAACGAAATTTGGGAAGATCATTCGTGCAAGTTTATGTAATTTTTGTCAATCAATTTTAAATTTCATTTCTTTCTATATTGTGTTTTCGTCTCATTTTCTGTAGGCTACTTTACAATGTAGGCTCCTCATGGCCTCTGTGTAAAAAAGTGTCAACCATAAGAACTCGGCTCTTTTCTTGATTTACATTAACTGAAATTTCATGACAAGTTCTGCGCAGAGCTTACGTCTATGCTTGGGTCGAAAATGGCCTGGAGTCTGGACGGAACCTGTTGTTTTTGCAATTTGGAAGTGATAAATGTGAAAGACTATTTCGACAGTGAGTTATTTTTTGTTCTGATCCAGTTTTTCTGATTGGGTTGCTTTTGTGAAAAATGTGTCAATCATAAATGGTTCTTGAATTTCAAGAAGCATTATCCTGATAACGGAAGCGAGATTACACGCTTTTGTTACATTTTGATTGTTTCTTTTTCTAATCAAACTCGCCAATAATGGTATTCTTTTTAGTGGCACTTTGGTCACGTAGTATTTACAGTTCGGAAGAACTTTTTCTCCGCTTTATCAGTGGTTAATGTTTCGGTTCTTTAAGCGTCAAGGGCTGAAGTTCGATTCACGTAGATAGCGTTTTGCTCTTAATACGTGCCCTTGTGATTAGCTTTCGGTTGTAACCGTTAGCAAATTTATTCCCAGATTTCATCAGTGTAGTAGTTCCAGGGCCTTTATTCTTTGTTCCGATTCTTGGAAATGGGGAGGAACTTTGTTTTCAGGTGTGTTTTATTTTTTTTAATATCTTTTCACGCAAAATCAAGTGCCAGAAAAAATCATCAAATGCGTCTATTGATATATCATGCTGGAGACCGATCAGTTGTTATTAGAACATGAAACATTTCCCAGCGTTGAGAAAAATTCGTCGAGAAAAGTTTTTTATTTTTGGTATTAATTCGAGCGAACAAAGCAAAGTGAGCGAGTTGGCTAATTTTGTTGTTCATCATGTAACCCAAATAATCATCCTAATTTTTAGAGTGATACATCATATTAAAGCCCTTTCAGCCAAGATTTTGAAATTTTTCAAAAAGTGTCAGTGTCGATAAATACCGGTTTGCAATGTTTTTCGTCTAATTTTGAAGGATTAAAACAAGCATGCTTGGGAGTAAACATTTTTTTAAAGTTTTTCTTGTCTTTTTTTGACTAAAACCGTTACAAGATTTGAATTTTCTTACTTTGACTGTCAAAAATCCCTCAACTCTCTGTGTTTGTTTGGATCCTTTATCACGACACAAAAGTCAACTCTGATTTGAAGAGAAAAAAACATGAGAAAGCTTTTATGGTATTTTTATGAGTATGGTCGGAACAATCTGTGCTACTTACACAGCAGTAGTAGTCGTGTGGGCAGCTCACAATCTGAGGTGAGGGGAGGGGGGATGAGGTTGAGCATGGCACTGAAAAGAGCAGTAGTAAAATGTTCTAGACTGATCTAGAACGTTTTAAACGGGTCATTAATCGTTCTAGATTGTTTCATAACTTCCATACATGTATCCCTCTATAAATAGCACCAAAATTTCAGCAGAAGTACTTAAATTACGCACAAGGTGATCGAAATCCAAATCAGGTGGTAGTGGAGCCCGTCAGTGAGAGAAGCTTAAATTAGATTGGCTGGCAGTCCTCCTCGTCATAAACTCATCCAAGGAGTAGCCGACCATGGTGAGAAAGTGCAGGCAATACACGTGAATCCTGAAGAGCCATGTGGAAACACTGGCAAGAGTGAATCTTCGCTACGATGTCGATGAAAATCTCAGACCATGGGAATGCTCGGTGTGCGAGGTCAACATAACCAGAAAAGAGTGGTCGGTGAAATGCAATGGATGCAAAAAGCAGACCCATAGGAAATGCACATCACTGGGAGCAGAAGGACGATGGGACACCTCTCTTTGAGCAGAATGCTGTCGGTAGTTAAGCGTGGCGACCCAAGCAGCTCGTCCTGACAGAAATAAAAGCGAAGAATCAAAAGACAAGGCAAATGAGACGCAACATGGAGGGAAAAGGCAAGAAGGATGGGAAAAGTAAGAACACCGCCATATGGACGTAGAACATGCAAAAATCGCAACTAACATTCCCCCATCGAAAGAGTACGGATTGTCGCTAAAAGCTCCGCCGAAGTAATTCTGTTCAATGAACTACACGAATCAACTAAGGGATTCAAGTGAATCAATTCTTTTGACCAATATGGCGTGCTGATTTACGAATTAAGTAGTTTACTTCTCAAGGACGAATGGGCAGTTGATTGGATCAAACAGGGGTGCAAAAAGGCAGTGCGGAAGGAGAAACACGGCAGTGTACGTCAACGGGATGAGATTCGTTGCAAAATACCAACCAGTGTGGAACAAACACACTACAGAATTCATTGAATACTGGGAGAAACTGGAAGCCATGATGATGTCAAACAACCTCCTGGTACTTGGCAGAGACTTCAGCTCCAGTGTCGGGACTCCAGTGCTAGGAGCAGAGATGGAGTGGCCGGTTGGTTTGGAATGGGCAGTACTAAATCAGCAGGTGAAGACCTGAGAGAGTGGTGCCACGCCCAACGCTTATACATATAAGATCATTCTTCAGCCAGAAAAGCTCCAGCAGAGATATATGGAAGAACCCGTCGTCAGAAACCAGGCACGAGCTAGAAGACTTTGATTAAACAGAAAAAAAAGAAGCCGCCGGGTAAAGCATGTCAGTACAGTAGGTGTCAACAATGTGAGCGATTATCGAGCCAAGAGACTAAAATGATTCCTCGGATTAACAACACAGTGCTCCGAAAGTTCGTTGCAGAACGGTGGAATGGGAACGATTGAGAGATCCCAACACCGAGAAAAATTTGAGAGCAAGCAGCAACAACCAAGCATACTTGATCAAAGAATCATGTGGAAACAGTACACGGAACCAAAGAAAAGGTAGGAAAAGAAGGTTGATTTTACATGGTCGAGAACGCCAAAAAGGTAGAACTTCAGTGAGACATAGGAACGCTATACAAGACTTAGAAGATTATTAGAGTGAAAGGCAACAGTTCGATAGAAGACGTATTCTTCAGCCCAGAAGAATTTAGAAACACCGATACGAGAACGAGCAGGAATATATCATGGCCATCTTAGAACAAATACCTCAGCGCAGGGACAGAGTGGCTCAGGAGGCGGCTATCAAACTAGGAAGGAATATAACATGGTCCGAGATTAAGGTCCAGCCAACTTAAATGCGTAATTGCTCGCCGGGGAAGTGCAGTGACTGCTTGATAACGGTGAGTGCAATGAAAAAGGAATACAGGCAACAGCTGTTCAAAACGCGATTTTTTTGTCAACATTTTGCAACAAATACCTAAAGGCATTTTTTCAACAATTTGCCTGCGGCCCAAAAATGTGATCAAAATAGGGTGTTTTCAATGATTTGGGAGATCTCAACAGACCGTTGGAAAAACTTCAATCAACGGTTGATTGAAGTTTTTCCAACTGTCTGTTAGCTATGTTTTCTTATAATTATTGTTCTCTATGCCTGAGGGGACAGATATTTTTGTATCAGAAGAAATGCAACAATATGTTACTTGCACAGCAAACGATTATTCATTGTACTGTTGTAGTCTACCAAAAAATGTGTTTTGAGACTAGTTTCATGGAAATTTCTGAAATTGCGAAACCTTTCACATGACATAAGTTGGCAGTTTGTTTTTTATTGGTCACGGATACCAGAAGCACTTCTCTGTTTGTGTGCATCGATGCCTTTCGTTAGAAAGGGACTGTGAGATTCGTTTCAAGTTACAAAATACGTTTATCATTAGCCGTGAATTAATCCTTTATTGGAATAAAAACTATATTCAGGTGCCATGAGGAGGGTGGAGATAATATACAATATCCGTCATGCCACTCAAGTCTCAGCGTACTTTCAGATTTTAACCTCATTAAAAGAAATATTTCCGTTTTAAAAGCAGGATGCACACATGAAGTGTACTGTACTAAAACACGGATACCATAATGTGGTCATATACCATTAATGTTTCTTTATTTTGAAATGTGATTGAAGAAGGCATGGCATTATCTTTTTGATCTGTTAAAGGTCAAAAATTGAACTCTCTTTTTTGTTCAAAATCAATTATTGTCCCGTAAATGTGCAGTTCTCAGTACTAAAACGCTGTGATATCTTCCTCCTTTAATCCCATTTTTGTTCGTCCATTATATTTTTTGTTTCAAATATAAACTGTTTCCGTCATTTTTGAATGTGAAGAGGCGTCTAAATTTTTTGTTATGTTTATGTATTGACAAGGAGCTTGTTAATGCTGTATGACTTTGACTTTACACATTTCTTTTTTCATTCAACACTTGTCAAAAAGTGGTCATTAGAGAATGCTTAACCAAGAGAGCAAGTTGTTATTTGGAAACGACATTTGTTGTTTAATTGATTTTTTAAAATTGTCTCTTTTAAAAAGGTTATTCAACTTCGTATGACCTGATATTTTCAGACGTAAAATTCATATTTATTTCTTCAGCGAACAATTGTTTAGCAAATACCAAATATTGATTAAACCAACGTTGAAAGTAAATGTAACTCTAAAAATGGCCACGCGGTTCAAATTTTACAATAAATAGACGCATGATTAGCAAACAGATGCTGGGAGAGATCAATTTTCGCTCTCTAGCCTTTGTATTGAAATTGATGAACTTCGAGTTAACTATTTATTTAAATGAAACCTTGAACCCATTTCGCTGACCGATTTTAGATTGAGAACATGTGGCCGCTTTGATTGATCGAATGATGCAATTTTACAAATATTGCTCCTGAAAATTTCAACGAATCAAGAAACAGTTATGGTTCACCAGCAGAATATAACACCAAAATTGTCAATTGAAGACGCCATTGTGAAATTATGATCAATTATTATTGCTAAAGTTTGACCTTAATTTGCCATTTTGTGAGTAAAATCTGGTCAGTTTTGACGAATTCATTAAATTATTGCCTATTTTTTTGAAACACTGAGATTTTTTGGGTTGTGCTGTGTTGACTAATGGCGACAAAAAGACCGCATGATTCCGGCGATAAGGAAAAAAGTGGTGCCGGAACGTCGGCAAGATCCGAAAGCGATGGAAGTGGCGACGAAGACATTGAAATGTCGGATTCAGATGCCGAAGGTTTCTCGTACATATCGGCTAAGCAGCGAAAAGAGTCGGAGCTTGAAGTTGCGAAGAATAAATACAAGAAGTTTTTAACTGGAGATAGTATTACTAGCGTACATGGCAATAGCAAAGCCAATAATGATTCAGACGGTGGTACGAATGAAGAACAAGTAGCGGAAAAAGAGATTGAAAAGATTGTGGTTCCGGTTGGCGGCAGTGCTCGTCGGAACGAGGCGAGTCTTCTGGACCAACACTCAGAATTGAAAAGTATGAAGAAAGAATCAGAAATGAGCGAAGCAGTGAAGCAACAAGACGAAGAGAAGCGTCTGTTGGATTACGTGGCTGAGAAAACGGCGCTCAAGGCGGTACAGGAGATCGCACGCAATATTTTGTACACAGACCCCATCAAAACTACATGGTCTTGTCCCAAATGGCTGCAGGTGACATCTTATGCCCATTAATGAATATTAATTGACATCAATTTTTAGGTAAAAGTTTACGCCAACGAAAAAATAAAATGGAATATCGAATATATTTTTCTTTTCAGCAAAATGTTTTAATCCATTTTTTTTTCAGTTAGAGTCGGTCTTTGAGTTTTTAGCAATCCTATATTTTCTAAATGTACAAAAAATTGGCAACAAAGACTTCCAAAAATCGTGAGTATCAACAATTTTCCTCAAATTGATTTTCATTTAAAACAAACGCATCAAAAATTGACATTTTCCAAAAACAAATCCGACTCAGCGCCATAAGTGTTTTTTTTTCGGTTGGCTTAACATGTAATGTGTTACACGCGTCGCAAGTGGTGTCAAGCTTCGCCTCGCGTTTTTCTTTAACTCAGTTGAGAAACAATTTCCAGTTTTGCTTTTAAATGGACATCATGGATGATTTTACAGGACAAATACCCCTCCTACCACGACAGAGTGAGGAAAAAAAGGAATATCGAAGTTGAGGGCGAGGACTGTCCTCCTCCCATCACCTGCTTCAAACAGATGAAGTTGCCCAAGTGTATTATGAAGGCACTAGAGTCGAAGGAGATCAAAGTGCCCACTGCTATACAAGTTCAGGGACTACCTGCTGTACTATCAGGTAATACAATTGTGCTCTTGTTGATCATTGAAAATGGGGAGGAACTTCGGAGCTTCGGGTGAGTTTTAGTTTTTTGTTTTTCAAAAGAAAATCAGGTACCACATATAATCATGGAAATGGATCGATTGTTTATCATATTGAAGCCTTTCAGTCGTGATTCGAACGACTTTAAAAAATTTCAAAAAGTTTTCCCAGAAACGCGAAAACCTGGTTTAAAGTGTTTGAGTTTTTTTCGTTCGAGCAGGCGTCTTATAGAAGGATAAGCCGTGATACTTTACTTTTACTCCAGTAAATTTTTTTTAAAGATTAAGGAACGTATTGAAGACTATTATATTGTTCTTGATTTTTTTTTCAGGAAAAAGTTTTGACTTTTGATTTTTTAAGTTCATTTTCATTGTTAAAAGGAAGACAAACTCGACAATCGAAAAAGTAAAGGTCAGAAAACAGTGGTGAATTTTAATTTATCGAAAGTGGATTTCAATGTTCAGAATTTACCTATTGATCCAGTTTTCTCAAAATGTGGTAATTTCATCAAAAAAGGATCAATCATAAATTGTCCAATTTGAAGGTTGAAATTTTTGCGAAAAAGTAAGTAATTTTTTCTGTTTACTGGTGTTCATTGCTCTTTTTGATTTATCATTTGGCTATCTTCGCAGCTTTATTGGCGCCTTTTGTTAATAAAATGTTTTGCTTTTTGCTACAATTTTTTTTTTGTTTTTTTTCTTGTCATTTTTAAACAAAATGTTGTCCAATTTGCCTATTTTACTATGACTGTCGAATCTGCCTTAGTTTTAAGGCTTTCATTCAGATCCTTTTATCACACCACTCACAAGAAATGACACTAATTTGAAAAAAAAACTTATTATGTAAATTTTCTAAGAATATGGTAATTTCCGCCTTCTTAAAAAGCAATGAAATGTGTTATCAGAAATTTTTGGCGGCTTTTTAAAATGTTTTAATCGAAAGAGCATTATTAATTAATTATAATTTCGGCAAAAACAAGCAAGCTAGTGCGAGGAGTGTTTATTGCGGACGCATTTTTTCTAATTCAACTCGCAAATGAAAGTAATCATTTGGCGGTACTTTTGCTGCATAGTATTGACAATTTCAAAGCATCTGTTCTGTCTGCTTTATTGCTGGCTTGTTTTGATTACCCTTGCGATAGGCAACGGTATTGCAATCGGGCACTAGACTTTTTTCCGTAGCTAACATTGTTTACAGGACTCATCTGGACTCATTTCTTGAAGCTTCTATTTACAAATTTACCGCTACGGATATACTTACTTATGTCTTCTTTGAAAGTTGCTTTTTATAGTATTTGTAATTTTGCAAATTCGATTTGTTTAAATTTAATTTTTCGTTTCCTTTTTTGACTAGATAGGTTTTGATCTATATCGTAGCGGCTGTGTTTTGAGAGTGAGGGGGACTTAGTTCATTAGTCTCTAACTTTTTGAACTTTTTTGATTTTTTTTCTTTAAATTCCGGCTTTTCGGCTCGTATTGTTTCATTTGACAGGCGAATAAAAATTGTGTGTGTGTGTTTTGAAGGCGAGGAGGACTTGATTACTCGATTTGTTGAAATTTTTTGGAAATCTCATTCAACCTCTGTTTGCATATTTACCGCTGCATATATACTTCTTGATTGTTAGCTTTCAAAAATCTCTGTTTTATTCGAAATTTGATTTCTATAGTAGTTGAAATTTTGCTAACTCGATTTGTTAAAATTTCATTCGTTGTTTTTTGTTCATGTTTTTCTTCGGCTTGATAGGTTTCGGCCTTATTATATCGGCTCAGCGGCCTCGACGAGCAAGAAAAGTATTTGTGTGCTTGTGCGTGTGTGTTCTGAGGGTGAGGGGGACTTAATTACTGTTTATAAGTCTTGGCCCTGTGGAGTTTTTCGGCTTAAAGGGTTTCTGCGTAGGTATTATTGGCTTTGTTAACGGTTGCTTGCTTTCCTTCTGGTACTTACTTCACATTCTGTTGTGTTTGAATGTTTTTTTTTCAAAACTGGCCTTATTTATTTTTCGATTTAGCGGCTTTTTGGTTTTGTATCGCAAGTGTTGCGAAGCTCAGCTTCGCCGCTCTGTATAATATGAAGCAAACATGGCGCAGAAGCGAGGACTTGAGACGTTGCGATTCCGATACATCGTTTTTCAAGACTTACTTTGCCTTTCTTTCCCCGTTTCTTTTTTTAAATGTTTTTCAGAGATTTTTTGCCCGTGTGTTTGCGAAGGCTTCGTTTCTGTGTTTGAATTGTGAAAATTCAAAGCAAGCGTAGTTGTAGTGGCTATCATTGTTTACTTTTTGTGTAGGTCGCGATATGATCGGAATAGCCCACACCGGATCCGGAAAATCTCTAGTTTTCACCCTCCCAGCAGTCCTTTTTGCCCTGGAGCAGGAACTGAATCTACCTTTCGTGAGGGGAGAGGGACCCTACGCCCTCATTGTGTGTCCCTCTAGGGAACTGGCCAGACAATTGTATGACCTGTGCAAGTTTCTAGCTGAATCACTTGAACAAGCTGGTCACTCGAGGCTAAATATTGCACTATGTATTGGAGGTAAAGTTGAATGAATTTGAAAAACTCCATCAAACAGTGATGACAATTTAATTGATTTATAAAGATTGTTAGTTAATTTAAGGGAGAAAATCGTCTAAAGGATTTTCCTTTCAAAATACAGTGTTAAATTGCATCAAAATCACTGGCTATAAATGTAAAATCACATGCCAATCTCACTGAAACTCAAGTGTGGCTCTCAGAATGCATAACTATTGGGCCAAAAGAGGGGTCTTTTCGGATATTCTCCTCTGAAGTTTGACGTTTACATAAAAGTATAAGGATGCATTATTTGTTTTTCCAGTAGATATATTTTAGCCAATCAGATTCCATTATTGAAGTTGAGTTTTAAATTTTCCATTTTGGGGCTGGTTTAACTGAATAGACCCTAAACGCACTTCAACGCACTATGTAACTAATATAGATGGTTAGCAACAAAGCATGAACTTTTAATGGCCAGTTCACTGTGGTTTCGAAATTTGCATCAAAACGTTTGATGTCCACTATCATGTATCTATCAGTCAGCGCATATAAAATTTCTGTTACAACAGATGTGAACAACCTAATTTCAGCATCACGTATCAAACAGCCCGTGTTTATTTACGGAATCAAAAAAGTATCAATGATGGGTCAAAATGATAATGATCAGTTTTGAACTATCTTTTGCTACATATTTTACAATTTCAACCATCGAATACTTTGGTCAACGAGCAAAACGGTGATAAAATTAGAATAAATAAGAATAAAAGTCAGCTCCCTCCAAAACGGTTCGTTTGAAGCGCATGTCACACTACCCGATTGTTTGATCGAGTGTGACATCTAAGTTCGCCACGTTTTTCTTTCGAATTGCGATCCTCTTTCGTAGAACCTTTTTTCATTGTGTGAGATAACTCGGATTATTTGATCGGACTTTCTGTCGATCAATTGCGTTGTAGCTTGGTCTTAGCTGAACTTGTTTTTGTTGTAGGAGAAAGTGTTCAGAATCAGGTGAAGAATCTGAAGTACTCTATTCATATCTGTGTGGCCACTCCGGGCAGACTCATGCACCTGTTGAATGAGAGGATCATGAACCTACACACCTGCAGATACCTCTGCTTAGACGAGGCAGACCGCATGATTGGTCAGTTTAATTCTGTTCAGTTATTATTGTACAAGCGAGCTCTCTTTTGTGAAGCTCTTTTTTTGCCTGAGTTTTAAGTTTTTCTGCTACCTCATAAAGTGTCTGATGAAGTATGTCTTTAGACATGGGTTTCGAGGAGGACATCAGGACGATATTCTCCTTCTTCAGGGGCCAGAGACAGACTTTACTGTTCAGCGCAACCATGCCCAAGAAGATCCAGAACTTCGCCAAGAGTGCACTCATCAAGCCCATCCTCATCAATGTCGGCAGGGCAGGTGCCGCATGCCAGACTGTATCACAGGTAAAGCAGAGCTTCGTCTACTTTTTGCCGTTTTCAAAAGTCAGGGATTGAAATGGAAAGTTGTTGAATATTTAATTGAAATTTCTCACTTTTGTTAAACAATATTTGAAGTCCTGTTGCCATGCAGGTAGTTTGTTGTTGTAAATTTAGTGTTGCTGTTTTTGTTGCGTAGAGTCTGCTGTATGTGCGAGAAGATGCGAAACTGACTCTTGTGCTGGAGTGTCTGCAGCAGACGGCGCCTCCAGTGCTCGTCTTTGCAGAGAAGAAGCACGACGTGGACACGATACACGAGTACCTTTTGCTCAAAGGTAACTAACTAAAAGGTCGCTCTAACCGATCAATCGGCATGTCACTAAAAAAATTGTTTCAGCGTAAGAATAGCGGAATGTAAAAGTATCGTGCGAATGCGATTATGAGAATATTCCGTAGCCAAAAGTTGCCTGTTCGAAAAGTCGTGCATAAAAAGTAGGGTTCCATATTCGGCAAATTAAAACAATGATATTCGATCGTATAACCGGGTAGTGTAATATGGCAGCAGTCCCATTCAGTTTCTATATTTAACCCGATGTTCAGCATTTTTTCCCTCAGAAAACAGTGCTTTTTCGGTTAATTAGATTTGTAGTATGTTTATATTGATGTGTCGAGTAATATTTTTCAGGCGAAAATCGCAGTTTTAGTTTAATTCTTGTTTGATAAAAATAGGTTTTATGAAAATGTATGGTATCGGGTTTTTTATTATTTTTTTGTTTTCATTTTTTGAGACGCTTTGGAAAATTCTTTCACTTTTTTCAAAAATTTACTTTTGCTCAGAAAGTACCGCATCGATTTTGGTACCAATGGTACCCTGTGTGCCTGCGTAACCTTTTTGGCTCTTTTTACCTTACCCCACTTTCTACAGCCGTCGAAAAAAAGTGTGTGGGGGGAATTTTTGACCTATATTTTTGGATTTTTGACATTTGCTCAAAAACTACCACCCCAAGCGGCCTTGCCAAAATTTTTTGATACAAAAAATTATTGCCTTCAAATGTCAAGATTTGGATTTCGAAGGCGGGTTGTGTTAAGCTCTCCTTCGTTAGTGGCTACACCAAATTTTTCACACAAAAAATTATGGCTCTCACAAAAGACAAACTACCCTCCGAAAACAGAGCTTCTGGTTTCAATGGGTAGAACGGGTTGTGGGAAGCCCACCAAATAAGCGGTTGCGAATATGTTTTTTCACACAAAAATATGGCCCTCGAAAAAGTGTTTTGATTTCTTGTCCGTTGTTTTAAAACTTTTTGACTCTCGAAAACAACTCAATCTGATATCAAGGGTTTAATCGAGGCAAAAAGTTGTGGGAAGCCTCCGTGCATAGGATGCTTTGCCCTAAAGTTTGTTCAAAAAATGTCTCTGGGAAAATGCCGAATTCACAAAAACTTCTTTCTGTTTTTATAGAGCAATAAATGGGTTTTCGGTGAAGCCCAATTTCAAGTTTTTTAATTACCTATTTCATCTCGCATCAGTACTGCAAAGTCAAAAATTGTCAAACAGGTACCTCCAGCCTCTAGTTTTTATCTTGGCTCAGGTTTTTTGGCTGAAAATGATATTGTTGCCTGCACTAATTTGACATCAAGTACAAAATATGAACAAAATAGCTATTCATCGGTGGTTTGTCTGTCCATAAGAAGTGTGTTGTTTGACAGGTGTGAAGGCGGTGGCAATACATGGAAGTCTAGACCAGGAGGAGAGATCGAGAGGAGTGGACCACTTCAGGGAGGGGCTGAAGGACGTTCTAGTGGCCACAGATGTGGCCTCCAAGGGTCTGGATTTCGACAACATCCAACACGTGATCAACTATGACATGCCAGATGACATCGAGAACTACGTGCACAGGATAGGAAGAACGGGCAGGAAAGGGAAATCGGTGGGTACAGTGCAATAGTGGCTATTGGAGAAATACTGATGATGTTAGAAGAATGGAATTAGCTGGGCAGAATTAATTGAATGTTGAATAGCGTTTTAACTGTGCAAAATGAGTACCAGCAAGAACTCAAGAACTGATATCAAGTGAAACAGGAATGATCATCAAAGTTTTCTAGCCTGTGTCTTTTATGCTGTATACCTTGAAATGATTTCACAGTTTTAGTAGTGAATTTTTTCGTTCTAGGGATTGGCTACAACTTTCGTTAACAAATCCACATCACAATCTGTGTTACTGGATGTAAAACACCTATTAGTCGAGGCGAAACAGCCCCTACCTCCCTTCCTGGAAGCTCTGGAAGACGAGCCCGGACTTTCTCTTATAAGCGATGATGTCGCTGCTAACGCCCTCTCGTCTACGAATCCAAACTCAACCTCAGCTACTCTTGGCTCCGCAGTGAATGCCGACAAGGGCTGCACGTATTGCGGTGGTCTTGGTCACAGAATTTTGGCTTGTCCGAAGTTAGAGTCAATGCAACATAAGCAGGCTACCAAGGCAGGAAGTAAAGACTATTTAGCACAGGGATCCTCGGACTGGTAGTACAGAGTCTGATTTCCGCCCGTGCGTGACTTGACGACCGAGTTATCTGATAATCGTTTTAGCTTTAGTTAGGACGCTTTTTCATTCTGATACTTTACGATGTGGTGTATCGTCGACCTGAATTTCATTGTTGATTTTTCAGTCTTATTGATTGTTGTTTTGAAGTCTTTATTAGCTGATAAAAGTCAAAATGTTAATTGAAATATTTATATTCATTCTTTTTACTCAAGCGTAGCGTAGTGTAAAGCTACGAAGCAATTTTTTTCCAACACAATTCGTAATTAAAAATGGTCAGTTCTCATTTGGTTACTCTTTTGATAAATTTCAAACCATGGCAATTTAGTAACATCTGATCCTCTTATTTATTGAACTTGTTTTTGCCTTTTTCGAGCTTTGTTGGCCGTTTTCTCGCTCACATTTGCGAAGAGCAGCTATGTCACTCTGTTAATTTTTAAAATATAATAATATCATAAGTCATTTCAAATACAGCCATTTAGTTTGAAGCTAAACTGATGGATAATAAAATTGCCGTAGCTCGAAATTCCTTCAAAATCGGCTCGCAAGAATGGTAATAATGAAAACCTCTATTTAAAAAATTGTCAATTTATACAAGTTCTTTAAAACTAAACAGCAAATATGCAATATCATATGCAATATTGTATGTTCAAGTGGACATTTTAGGGATGCTCGATAAAAAAGCGATTCCATTAAATCACTGCAAATAGCATATATCAAGGAGGTATGTTAATTGATTACTGCGCCAACTAATTAAAGACATTGAAAGTAGTTTCTGATTGGCTAGATTTCTACATAAAGTAGATCGTCATATTAAATATATGAAGCATTATTTTTTAATTCACCGAAGAAATGAAATTTTGTTGCCGTTTCCATTCAAACTCGATCCTACTCTTTGCGATTGATGCGATGTATATTAAAAAAACAGTAAAAGCCAAAATGCAAGCTTTGATTTGTCGACGGAGATCTGCGATCAACTGGATACCAGATAAAAGAAGTAAAAGAAAGGAGATGGGCTGATTGTTCAGTATCACCGAAAGTTTCGATCAAAGTTGGTAGTTTAAATTGCGCCCATCAAAATTAGGGTTACATGACGATTTACCCTTTTGCAGTTTATCCTTTACCAATTTAACCTGCCACATTAACGTACGTTCCAACTTAACCTATTCAAGTTTACCCTATGCTCGCTATAATTAAAACTTACCCTATGCATTTGAAGAATTCTGTAGATCAACTCTGAATAGATATCAAAAAACCATTAACTTTGACTATGGAATAGTTGCCGCATGTGAATGCAATTTGAAAGCAATATAAAATAAATCGTTCAAAATTAAATTGCGATCAAAGCTTAAACGAGCAGAATTACATTTGACTAATTTGCAATTGCTACGCGTTGCATCTGTTTCTTGAATTAGCAAAAGTCATATCACACCGAGTCCAAATAGCTTAGTGGATAGTGCATGTGTTTTAAAATCAAGAGTTTGAAAGATAAACTTACTTAGAAGTAAGTTTTGAATGAAATTCAAAAATTACTGAAGGTTTGACTAGTTGATCACAAAAAGACTCTGTTCCGGGCAAAGAGGTACTGGGAGGGGGTTGAGGGAAAGAGAAAAGTAATTTTGATGTTGGCCTTGATCGCCTCCCAAAATATCCGACCTCTGGGACGCCGAAAGCCTCAAAAATTAAATATTGTCTGGCAAATCAATTGAAATTTTGAAAATTTCACTAAATTTTATTTTCACTTTAGAATAGCTCAATTGAGCAAGAGAATACAAATAAATTATGATAATCTTTATTGAATCTCTTTACATTGTTTGTTACTCGTTCTTTCATTGCTCGGTACTTGTTACAACTGGGATTGTTATTTCTCCCCACGGTCCTAAGAATATTGAATTTTTTGTTGGCTGCATCGAGTTTGACTTGGTTCAGGAAGTATGAATAGAAGAATGACTTCCTTGAATGACTTCCTTCACGGCGTTTGTTCTTTCTACCAGGCCAGCTGCAGCTTCTTTTTGAGTGGTTCCACAAAATTAACGGAAATAATGGCTCTCAGTTGTTGCGGCCTTTTGTCTCCCCTTTGCTGTAGCTTTTTTTTGAAAGGGGCAACCTCATCCAGCTTTTCACTAATAGTTTCATCTAGCTCAAAGCGATCAGCAACTTTCTCAATTTCTTCGAATACTTGATCAAACCCAACAATAACCTTGTCAATTGATACAAAACTTATCACAGGATTGAGTCGTAGTGCCAAATTGAGCACATGGTTGCTTCCGTACAATCATTGCAAACCGACTTCGATAATTTTGCGATAAAAGGCTTGAGTTAGATAAAAGTAGCATACTTTAATGTGCTCCGGGGTAGTGAGAAGAAAACGCGTATAGTTGGGCTTGGCATTTTGCGTAGGCTGTGACAAAGGCTAAGAAACTTCTGGTAGGTATGCTCTCGTAAATAATAGAATACACAGAATGAAACAGTTTTTGCATTCATTCTATCCTTAATTGTGAAAATTGCGGAATAAAGCAAAACGCTAGATTGCGTCTTCACAACAATTAGCTTGATTTTGCAACTCAATTGAGTCCCAAAAGCTGCCCTTAAATGAGTTAACACATGCAGGTTAAAAATATATAACTCGGTATGTAATTAGTACATAAAAAGAAAAAACTAATTGCGACAAAAATGAGCTTAAGATATAGTAGCTTAGGGTGAGTTGGAAAATAGGGTAAACTGGCAGTTCAGGATAACTCTCAGAGCAGTATTTGCTTCCTTTTATTTTTTTTTAATTCACGATAGCAATTATTCGCGTTAAGAGGTTATTAATATTCTTATTTACCTTGCGATAAGCAATGGTATTACAATCGGGTACTAGACTTTTCCCCCTAAACAACTTGGTCCACGGGACTCATTCGACTCCTGATGTACCTTGGTTCATAATGAATGCAAATTATGTAGTGCCTCTTGCACACTTAGCGTGGTGATAACGTATACACCTGGGACGGCAAAGGTTCTGGGTTCGAATCTGACCAAGACCAGTTTTTTTCAAGCGTTAAATATTCCGGATCAAAAAATTTGGGCCTAATATGTGCCCGCTTATATTTTTCTGGATTAGTTGACACATCTAAGAATTGTTTATTTAAGCTGTAAACAATTTTCACCGCAGTTGCCCTTAGCATTTTAAAAGTCCGGCCGAATCGAAATTTATTTTTCACATTGGTTTTAATTTTACCAGCTGATTTTTTTTCTTCCTTATTAAAGAAGACTTAGTGGCCTTTCATTGCGCCGTTACGATCGAAAAAAAATTTTGAGCGCGTCTTTGTGTTCTGAGGAGAAAAGGGACTTAAATTTTAATTAGAGTTTTTTGAATTTCTTTCGGCATGAATGGTTTCTGCTCAGGTATTTTCGGCTGTTTTACCGCGGGGTGTGGATTATAAATTCAAATCGAATCAACCAAACGGCGCATCTGGCGTAGAGGTTTAACAACAGCTTGAGACGGCAAAGGCTTGTGGTTTGAATCAGGTCGGTTCCTTTTTTGCAAGCTAGATTTTTTGTGCTTTTTCGGACCGTCGTTGTCTGTTTGTTTTTGTCGGCTTGATTCCTGTAGCTTTATGCTTTTTTCAAAGTTGATGTAAGTCTCATGCTTGAGACGACACAGCCCAGGTGTTCGGTTCCAGTTGAGACCTGTTTTTTTTTGCAAAGAGAAAGTTTTGGCTAATTTAGATTACTGTCTACCTGCTTTTTTGTCCGCTTAGTTCCGCATAAAAGATTTGCCTTCTTCATAGCATTCTCAAAGCTCGTTGTAAAGTTTGTAATGGTGCAGGCAATTTTGAGCTGTTGTTGCAAATTCTATTGACTAAAACAATCTTTGAAGTTTTTTTGCTATTCGATTTTTATCATAGTCGTTCAGATTTGTATCGCAAAAAATTCGAAGCTCAGCTTCGACTCCGTGAATGATTTTTGTCATTAGAAACACACAATTCTCACGAATCATCTCTCATTTCACCGAAGCCTTTTTTGCGATAGGCAGTAACACTTAGCCGAACTCTGATACTACCTTTAATTGAGCTGGCTTAATTTTTTATTCCATGCTTTTTTTGAGGTTAATCGAATTCTTACTGCATTTTGAGCTGTACAAGCTAATCTAGTGCTAAAAAAAGTATCCGGATAAAACAAATAGAACTGATTTTTTTACTAATTGTTCTCAAGTCGGGTTAAATTTAGACAAAAAAGATCGAAAATAGCCTAGAATTTAACCAGAACTTTTATGTTGCAAAAAAAGGACGAAAATAGCCTAGAGTTTATACCAGAATTTTTATGGTGCAATTTTTTTTCGCGAATGTTGGACTCAGAATTATCAGATTAAAACGGCTCACTTCTTTTGGTTCAAGGTTAAGCAAACGTGGCGTCTGAAACCAAACGAAATGAATTGTTTTAGAAGTTGCATTTTGTCCAAATTTTGCAGTAAAAGGTATCCTTAAAATCTCGTTAAATTCCAAGCAACTTTTGTCCTGATTTTTTTCGATCTAAATTTAACCCAATAGAAATTTTTTTTTTAAAGTTTCAGTTTTATTCGATTTATCCGATTCAAATCACGGCTGTCCCAGCGTGTTTAGCTCAAAATGCAGTGAAAGTTCGATAAACTGCAAAAAATGCAGGAATAACAATCCAACCTGCTATAGCAAAAAGATTGGATTCAAAAGCATTTTTGTCGTTGGAAATGAGAGATTATTCTTAAAAAACACCCTTTGTATCTCTTGTTGCTATCTGATCTCAGACGTTCTTGACTACTCATCGGAGAAGTAGTATGAATATGATATTTTCTAAGGGCACTATCCACTGCTTTTGCTTGAGCCGAATAATTTGTCTGCTGAGTCATTATGCGTGTTACTGATCAATCATTGATCGATCTCCAGACGATTAAATGAACTCATCTTGCTTGATGATCATTTTGTTAATTACACAAGCAAACATTTGTAATAGTACGAGCTCATTTTCTCCAACCTCAGTCGGACACTTTTGAGCTTACATTTCGGTTATAATTCAGTATGTCTGTTGTGTGCTGCTCAAATTCTTCTTGGAAAGAGATTAAGTAGATTGTTTCATCCGCTTTATTAACTATTCATTGCTGCCTTGGTTGCTTTATACTTCTAGTTACATTTTCCAGCCTAAGTCGCAAATTTTTGTGTTAAATATCGGTATTTTAATGTATATATGAAATAAATCTGCGCTGAAGTTCATTCGACGCTGAGTATAATAACACTGGCTATTTTGATTGTCCCGACTACGAAGAAAAGTATTGTATATTTTAGTCGGTCTAGTTTTTTTGTCAGTTAATTTTTGAACCATCTGTATTTAAAAGGTTTTTTGTTTTATCTGATTTGATATTTCTATATTTTTTTGGTGACTAGTCAAAATGAGTTTCAAAATATAAGCCGAATTTTTAACAGTCCCGTTTTGTATTTGCTCGCCATTTTATAAGGTGCAGCTTCGCTTTTTGTAATTTTTTTACGTAGCAGGTATGGCATCTGCAAAATTGGGTTAGTGTAAACCGGCATATTGATGAAAGGGACAAAATTTGTTTCCAAATAGCATTCAACATTAGATTGCTACATTTACGTTAAGCGTGTTACAGAGCCGAAAAATTTAGGTTCTAGATTAGCTTAAAGTTTGCTGATGAATTACATTGGCCATGATGAAATACGAGAAAAGGATAATATTCACCCAGCAATGGTAAGTAGCGACCACTTGCTCCGATTAAATTTGACATAGAGTTATAGTGCGCGTAATAAAATTGCTGAAAATTTTTTTTCGGCTCTTGAAATGTGTGGCTATTTGGGAACTCGCATAATTGAGTGAGTTTTTTTCAAAGTGGATTATAATTGGCTGAAACGAGTCTCATAATTGTTGACGTTGTATCTATATGCCGTTTGTAGCGGTCGGTTGTAGCGGCCGTTTTTAGGAAGAAATATCAGCAAGTGAAGATATCTCTCATCGCTATCATAGTCCAAGTGCTAATTGCTACATTTTGATATTTATGGTGCTTCATCCTATTTGTGTCCGCTTATCAGCCTTCCTTGGTGCTCTTAATTGTCTGGAAATGACAGAGCTTGATACGGAAATTCTTGGACGGAGCAGATATCATCCAACGGAATCATGAGTCGGTTTTCAGCTTCTTGACCTATTTCTAAGCATTCATTACATTTTAAGTAATAAAATTCGACTTTTTCCATTACATTTTCAAGAAAATGATAAAATTGAATATGCTTCTTAATTATTTTAGAAGGTTTCTGCTTGTGCAAATGAATGCAGAATTGAGCCCGCTGATTTTGCGTTTTTTTTCATCTGATTAATCTTATCCTTTTCTCTGAATTGGATTTGGGTCTGACACTCACCTACGAATTTCTGGTGGAATTTTTGGTAACTTTTATTATTCACAGTTTTTCTTTCAAATGTAATTTCAAGTAATTCGAATTTTTGGTGTTCGAAAACTGCTGTACGATGACTTTTGTTCTGTAGCTGTAGTTAGCAAACCTTGAACAATTATTTGAAAAGGTATGTTGTCAATTTCCTTGTCAATTCGATCGGAATTTTTTTTTTCAAGTTAATTATCTGATTCATTTTAATTAAAGAACGGACCTTGCGAAAAGCGCTTATCGAAAAAAAAACTTCCATAGGGTTTGTTTTGAATGCCTATTTTATCAGAGGACAAAGACTCCTCATCAAAAATAACTTTCAATGAACCTTATGCCGTTTATTATTTATCGTGGCAATACAATGGTCAATTTACTTGTTGTTTTTTTGTTTCAAAATGAATACATTTTTTCCATTAAAGAATAGGACAAAATTCAGTTAAATAGCATCGGGAAAAAATTAACTAGCTAAAATTTTTGAATCCATGCAATTGGTAATCAATTTTTGAGGAAATTGATATGCTGTTGTGTCAATGCTTTATGGAGGGAGGGACACTTAAAAGTTAATCCTATTGGTCATAGCATGCCACCAATCTGAGCTCGGAGAGGAAATTTAAGCAATATTGACATAACTGAAATCTTCCATTTTATTTCAGGACAAATGTTCCTGTTTGATTGACGAAGTACTGCGTTTAAGTTGGAAATGGTTTCAAACAATGAGAAACCAGCAGTGAAGCAGGAGCCGGGACTATTCTCAGTCGAAATCGAAGACAGATTGCTAGCTCTATGTAAAGAGGCAGCCGATGACGGAATCGCACAGGAACGCATCATCATCCAACGGTGCTAAAAAATGTTTAAAATTTTGTTAGCAGAAGGGTTAATTCGCGGAGACTCGTTGATTGACACTTAAAAATTTCCCTCGAATTATTTATCCCAAATTTCAGACCCTCATAACTAATTCAATTTATGTCACATGTAAAGTTCTGGTGAAAATGTATACCATATTGCAGCAATAGATGATAAATATAAAAATTAGCAATATCGGTTACCGTGAATTCAACAAAGAGTCGCTGGGTCTATTTAACAATTTACACCACTTTCAAGATAAAGTAGATTAAATTAGTCGAATTTTCGACCTATCAGAATTCAGCGAAATTCGAATTATAAATAGAAAGCTCTAGTGCTAATTTACTCCTTTTATTTATAGGGGTGGAAATTCTTTACCAGATACCATAGGGAGGATTCAATTGTTAAGCAGATCCCAGTCACTTAAAAAGTCATATTTTTCACGACAACAACTTGATTGTGGTGTCACTGCAATCGGGTACTAGACTTTTTTTCCTGTAAATGTGGAAATTCTTTACCAGATACCATAGGGAGGATTCAATTGTTAAGCAGATCCCAGTCACTTAAAAAGTCATATTTTTCACGACAACAACTTGATTGTGGTGTCACTGCAATCGGGTACTAGACTTTTTTTCCTGTAAATAACTTTGTTCACCGGACTCTTGTGGACTTAGTTCCTGGAAGCCTCTTTTAGCAATAAATTTACTGCATTTTTTGCATGTTTGCCTTTTAAATATCTGTCCTATTTGAAATTTGTTTTTACACCAGCAAAGCTTGTGTGATAACATGAACTCTCTTTTTTTCCAACCTAAGTCGCAAATCTTAGTGTTTATTTGGAAAAGTTCATTTTGATCAATAACCAGTTATTAAGTACAGCGAATGCTAAGGATATTAACACAGGCTATTAGATTACAAATAGCACATTAGCTTCAAGGTATCATGAATCTGCAGCGTGGAGGTAGGGAATGAGACCATCAACAAAAAAAGAGGGTTCGAACTTGGACTGCGTCGGATGTTTTTTTAATGTTTGAATGAACTTTTTCGTATACTAGCTAAATGCGTCCGCTCTATAAATTGAGGCATGTTAGTTGGTATTTTTTTTCAAATTGACTCGTACTGCTAATGCGCCATAATTGGTGTGCGTCACTTAGCAAATATGTAGACTCATAGTTGGCGTATATCATTTAGGAAATTTTGTAGACTCAAAGTTTTACTCATTCAGTTTCATGCAGTAGCGTTATCGGTCATATTTTTTGCTTGTGTATGCGAAGTGCAACTTCGCCTCTGTGTACAAAAATTAGTGTACGGACTAATTAGACTGCGGCAACCATGTTAGGTCGCCATTTGTAACCTTATAAAACCTTTCATGATACTATGAACTAGATGCTTACTTGTGCTGGGGGAGTGAATTTTGTAAATGCGCACTCAGTGCCAAAATGCTAGTTTTGAGAAGGTAAAACAGCAATTTTGATAATCGACCCAGAATATATTTAAAGGCGGCATGGCATGTTCAAGCTCTTTTAACGGATTATCTTTTAACTCAGCTTTTTTCACGTTTAAAATATATCATATATTGCAATGCAGAAGAGTTTTTTCGATTTTCCAGTTTGAGTACAGTGTTTACTTCTCTACATTTGAAATTAGTTACTCAAAAATGACAGTATCATCAGTGTTGACTGGCTTCAAGATCAAAAAGAAACCGCAGAATCAAAGCAGGAAGTCGAATCTTTACACGACACGAAAAAGACGAGATTGTCGATCGCTGCCTGACTATTCAACTCTATCGGACTATTTGGCTGTGGAATTCTAGTTAGAAATGGTGATTGTGGAATTGCTGGAATTTTTGGCTCATGTCAGTAAAGAGCAAAGCAAAAGCCGGAGAACATAATGCGCATGGCAGACATTGTGGACACGCTAGCAGTAGATATATATCGACTCCGAACCAAAACCAACGACAAACTTTTCAAGAGTTTTACAAGATTGAAACTAGAAACTCAAAAGTGGAATGCTGTCAGGATTACCCTAGGGCTTGCAAATATGAATACCCAAATATTTTTATTTTACGAGATACGAAGTTTTTGTGATTTTTTCCGACAATTTTTTTAAAATTAGTTTTAAAAATTCCGCAAACATTGAAATTATCAACCCTATCGTGACTGATGTCAGGTTACTCTCAAGGGTAACCTCCTCCATCAAAAGACGTGTGAGACCAAGAAAGACTTGTTTAGATCGTTGCCTTACCCACACTGACCCGCAAGATCGTATTTTATGGAGAGCTGCAGTTCGACAATGCCTGTTGCTGCCATCCCCATCTGATGGGTCACGGACAGCACTATAATCTAAAATCAAATATTTTGATGATGATTGCGAGATATGTCGTTTTTCATGATTTTTTCAAAGAACATTTAAGATTTTGATTTGAAAAGTTTGAAATTTTCAATTCTATGATGCGAGACGCCGCCATGGTTCTTTCAGGCGTTGCAAATTGTGCCTCTAGTTATAACTGTTAAAATCTTTTTATTTCCGAGATATGACGTCTGTTTTGATTTTATCAAAAAAAAATATTTCCAAGAAATTTTTCATTCAAATTTTTTAAGTTGAAATTCTAACCCCGGTAATTGGGTGCTATCAGTGACCTCTCAGGGGTTCTAAATCTTGACTGCTTAAATCTTTTCAGTTTTCAAGATATGACGTTTTAAAGATATTTTCAAATAACTTAGATACAAAAAAGAGTGTGGGTCATTTATTTCGCTGTTTTTTCCATAGTTTTTTGCAGAAGCAGTTTTTCGCTAATCTGGGTGAAGCACCGGAGGTGCGTTAGACGCTAGTAACTTTTAATTAGTTTTAAATAACTTTTTCGGCTTTTTTAGTTTACCTTTTTTGGGCTTAATAGTTTTTGGCCTATAATATACCGGCTTAGTGACCTCATGTTATTTCATTTGACGAATGAATAAAGTTTTTTTGTGTGTGTTTTGAGCGCTAGGGGGACTTAAAAACGTTTTTTAAGTCTTAAGTCTTGTTTTTTTTTCAGCTTGAAGAGTTTCTCTCAAGAGATTTTCGGCTTTGTTACCGCTTGGTAAATTTTCTTCCCAAGCTTAATTCACATTCTATTGTGGCATGTTTTTCTTTCAGAACTAGCCTATTCATTTTGATATATCTAGTTTTTTCGACCTTTTGATTTTTTTCGTTAATTGGTAAAAGTTTTGCAAACTGCTAATTTGGTTTAATTGTCGTTAATTGTTAATGCTACCAGACGCAGAATTTTTTTTTGTTTTACATAACGTATAGGGGATAAAATGAAAAACATTTTTCGATTATTTTCTCAATTTTTCGTCGACGTTAAAAAGTATTCGAAGCGTTCAGGGCTTCGTCATAATAAAAGCAGTTCCTTTCACAAAGTTTTTTTTTCAAATATATTTAATGTTTGGTAGGAAATTTCAATAACAAAAGAGCATCCAATAAACGAATTGCAAATGGTGCAGTCAAATAACAAAGTGCAACAACGCAGAAATTTGAAAACAATACTGATTGGGGAGTTGTACGAAAAAGTCCCATGTGTAAAATTTTTGTTCCCCATGTGCGGGTATGCAGTGAACGTTTTGTCTTATTTATGAATTTTGAATAGAGTTGCTTTTGAAAATCTGTTTTGTTTTCTGTTTCCTGACTTAAGTAACATTCTTCAACTTTTTCTCGCCTTGGTTTTTGTGTTCCTTATCTATTTATTGATAAGGAAAAGCCCTCAGTTCCAAATCTTTCGAAATTCTTTAAACCATGAGTTCGTTATAAGCGCTGCAAGAAGTCGTGAATAACTGAATTGAAGATGCATAAATAAACTGTGCTGGTTTAAATTATCCGGACAAAACGCATAAAACTTGAAATTTAAAACGTGTTTTTCTCAAATTGGGTTGATTTGGACAAAAAACGATGAAGACAAAACTTGCTTAGAATATTTGCTGAATTGATATTGTGCAATTTCTTTTTCGAAATTCGGGTCCAAAATTTTACCCCAAAAACTAAATTTTTTTGGCTGTTTAGTCAATAAAAAATTATGCTGTAACTTCCGAGAGAATTACTGACAAAATTATATCAAAGTGAGCCTCTTATAGAGCCCAACAAAGTTCAAAAATTTTTTCGCACATCGTATTTTCTCAAAAGGTAGCCGCCCCGGTTATAAGTTGCATTAGTTCATCAATTAAAACTTTGAGATAGGCCTTCAAATAAAAGACGCACTTCTTCGACATTTCGAAAAAATCAAAAAGTGATTGAATCAAGTTAACTTACAAATTAATTGAATCATTTCAACTTCGAAGAAAAATGAAATAATTTTGCTTTATTACACTTACGAAGCAAAAGGTATCGCCATCTATCACAATTTAAAAATTAAGATACCCCTCTTATAAAGGACCTCATTTGAAAGAATTTTTAAAACCAGATTAATTTTTTAAAAGACGGGGCTCTTAATCGAGAGATATGGTAGACTTATTTTTGAATGAGAGAACGCGAAACATGAGAAATTATTCGGTTTAGAATACTTAAATAAAAATGACTGATTGGATGATTGTGTGAAATGAATGCAAATATAGGATGTCATCTGTGAACGAATGACAGAGTGTGCACCTGTGCAAGTGCTGTCGACTGTGAACAAACTACTGGCCAAAGGACATCTGCAACTCCTTCAGAATGCGGAAGGAGACATCATATACAAGTACAAGGTAGATTTGCTTTCCTTTTAAGAAAGAGAACCTGAGTTTGTCATTAGACTCTCGCGGTGAGTCGAACTACAAAATACGGCCTGAAACTGTGGAAGATCGCTGTGCGAATCGTTTAATTTATCAAGCGCATCCAGAAGCGACACTGGATTCACATCAATGAAGCAAGAGTCCACCACTACAACACGCAACCTGGTCGATAGATGTACTGAAAAAGCACGATAGCTTTATTACACTTGCGAAGCAAAACATATAAGTACGAATATTTTTTCCAACCTAGTCGCAAATAAAAGTGCTACTTTTGGTAGCACTTCCGAATCGGTAGCTGCGGTAGCAGTGTATTAACATGTGCTTTGACTTTTGCTTAGTAAAAGTTAACACAGCTGATGCATTTTTAATTCATCAAATGACCGAAAAAAGTTATTTGTTGCAAACAGCAGTACAATGATAAAATGCTCGATTTCAGAAAATTCCCAACTCAATGTATCTCGCAGTTTTTTTGAAATGCAAAATGCATAGTTTGGCTTAATGCTTTCCAATTTATTACATGCTAAATTGTGTTTTTTTTGTATTTGTTGCAACTTCTGCTGCATCAAATTGGCAGTCTATTTGCATATGTAGCTGCGTTGTTTGTGGCTAGTTTTTTTTGGATTTTAAGCATCCGTGGTTAGTGAGTGAGACTCAGATTTGCTAGAGAGCAGAATCGAATCCGACACGTAGTCGAGTTTTCGCTAATTCGAGGCTTATTTCTACTTTTTCTTGATAGCGCTGCTTTTTGGTCGTGTTCTCGCAAGTGATTGCGAAGCGCAGCTTCGCCTCTGTGTCAGAATTTGAACTCCAGACTAATCAGTGTGACTTCATCTTGGTTCATGTCTCGGCCAAAAAGCTGGATTCATAATCATGATAACAATGCGAGCGTTCTTCTTCTGAAAGAGACATGTCTACAATGAAAAGGACCTGACGGAGTGCTCTCGCGCATTGAAATAGAAAATGATTCTCAAGAATCTTCACACAATTGAAAAGCAGATGTTGGCGCTGATCAGGGGAGGCGTGCCTGCTGACTCCCATGTTTTAAGATCGGCTAAAACTTTCCCGTCAGCAGGCTATATTTTAAAATAAGGAATAGATTTTACCATGTATTAAGATAGGTTATAAGATTTGCTGTGTATTAAGATAAAAAGATTCGGATTGTAAGTTTCAAAAAATCTTTGCCAGAATTTGCCAATACAGCAATGTTTAAGGTCGCATGTTTTAAAGTTGGGATTAGGTATAATAATTTTATCCTACATGGCTATACAAAGATTAGTTTATGGGGTTTTTGCACATGCTTCGAGTTTTTTTTTTAATTTTTGAAATACAGTAAAAAAAATTTTGTTGAGTTTACGTGCAAATTCGTATTAATGACAGTATCTGTGAACAAGTCAAAATTTTTCCACTTTACACCCTGAAGAAGGATAATTACCTGATTTTGTGTCCCAGAAGATACATCTTTGTGATATTTGAAATAAACATTTATAGCTAAGTTAATGTGAAGTTCCTTGATTAAAGGTAGCGATTAGATTCTACTTCGGATTTTGGTTAAAGATTTACCCAAATGTTATATTTGCTTAACTGCCATAAACTCATTTTACCCAAGTTTTCAATCACAATTATCATCCTAGTTGTTTTATAAATGAGAAAATATTAGAGGAAATTTAAGATTCGCTTTTCAAAAGCTGTTTCTTATAATAAGCGAATTTCGAAATTTGTAGGCGTATATATTTTTCTAATGTTCTTAAATTTTTCTTCTTATTAATCTCTACTATAACTGAATGGATCTTGCTAAAACACGAATAACATTTTCTGGAGAATTTTTCACGTCAGTTCAGCAAAATTTGATATTACTGTTCTAATTTAAAATTTTTCCTGCAAATGTCACTGGGTGACAGTCTGAAAAAAACTAAGTAGGATAGGGGTGAATTTCACCAAAACCTCAATATATCTGTGCATAATCTCTCTTTTGCTTCTAAAACATACGTAATAATGAATTTGTAAATGATTTCACGTGGTTTAAGCTGGTTCCGGATTTCTGCTGTATCTATTATCTTGATACCATAATTGAAACCATATTGCTTAAATTTGAAGTTTGCAACCAAAGAAGATTTATTATTGGAAACATCTGAATACTAATTCGTGTTTTTTTATGCAAGATTATATATATAGCAGATAAAAGTTCTCTGATGTAGCAACTATAGAAGATCTTCTTAGCAAAATTGCAAATTTCGTGTCCATTAGAAAAGTTAGTCTCTTCGTTTTTTCGAGGTAAAGTATTGTCTGAGGTTACTTAATTTAGAAAATCCGCCGGCCGGCTATCCTTGTTATCATTTGTAATTGTTATGATTATTTGAACTCAGGAAAAAGTACCTGTGGCTTCCGGCTCTGGTGGAGTAGGAAAGGGGACAGGGGTTTCATTAAGCAAGGAGGAGCAGCTGGTGTTGCAGATCATAGCTGAGGCAGGCACCTCCTCCATCTGGAACAGAGATATACGCACCAAGTCAAACCTGTCCATCATCCAGGTAATGAAATTAAAATACGTCAACACAGACCTGAACTGAAGTTAAAAGGGATTTTAAAACTAGATGAATTCAGATTGTGTAATTAAGACAAAGATGAGTTAGGGTGCGTTACGGTAAGCAACGAATGTAATCAACTGTAGTCTTTAGACTGACAATTCAGAGTGATCATAGAGTATTTCAAGCAGGATGTCCAAAAGGTCCATTTTAACCGACTTGTCGGTTTTGGTCGGTCGGTTTTTTCTGAAGTCGGTTAAAGTCGTTTTTTGGATGTGTTTTTCAAAATTACATTTTAATTAACGTTTCTCTATGTTTATGAGTATAACTACCAGATGGTTTTTTATTTTATTAATTTTGTGATTTTTATTTATGAACCGATTTGTCCTATGAAATAAATAGAAACATTTCGAAGTTTTATCGCTCAATAAACTCACTTGGAAAATTTTACAGTTTTTCTGCTAGCCAACCAATTCGCCCTATGAATTAGCTGAAAACATTTCGAAATTTCATCGCAAGATGACCTTGCTTCGGAAAACTTTCGGAAGACTTTTGGAAGTTCCAATTTTTTATTTGAAAGATCGCCAGTCGAAAGAATCTTGGTGGTCCTTATAAAAGGGAATATGTTTTAGCCTGTTGGTATTGTAAAACACACCTTGCTTCGGAAAACTTAGGTTTTTTCGAACCAATTCTCAGAAGATTTTTGAAACTTCGGTTTTTGGAAGATCGCCCTTAAAACAAATCACGTTGGTCCTTGTGTAAGGTAATACATTTTAGCATGCTGATTATATCGTCTTTCAGAAATCGGCTTGCTAGTATATTCTAACTTTGAGGAGGGACCGCTGCCATATTGAAGCAGAGATTTTTTGCTTGAAAACCGACAGATAAATCCTTAGAAACATTTTTATTTCTGGTTAAAATTAGTTTGACTTGTTGAGAACCGATTTGCGCTATCAAAAAAAAACTTGAATTTTTTTCCAAATTTTCATCGCTCGATGAGCTTGCTCAAGAAAACGTCAAATTTTTGTTCGCCCTGTGAATTGACTATAACAGTTACATCTATAACATACAATCAAAAATTGATCCGGCTTATTATGCGTCATTTTCACGAAAACCCGCAAAATTTCCCTGTCTCCATGCTCAATTTGTGTCCGAATGTGAGCGAAAAAATTTTACAGTGAAAACTATGGTGAATTGTTCAGAAAATTTTATCTGTGGTATTTTTTGTCTCAAAACTATCCAATTTTGTTAATTTTGTCAAAAAATGTAAAATCATCAATTGTTCTTGAAAGTCGAAGTTTTTTTTAAAAAACATCAGTATTTTTTCTGTTTCCTTGCGTTCGTTGACACTTTTTCTACTGTCTGTTGGCTATGTTTTTTTCTGTTATACGCAGTGTCGTGGTTGATGATTTTGGTTCCGAAACTAAAAGGTTAACATGCAAATAGTCCAGACACCCATCTTGGTTAATAGGCGATAGCTCTCTACTCAAATCTTTGATCTGGTCATGTAACAGTAAAGGCCCAATTTTTTGATTGTGCTTTTAAGTGCTTTTGCAAGGAGCGAAATTACACTAATTTGCAGGTTTTTACAAAAAAGACTCACAACTCGTTCACGCTCGATTTGAACGAGGAGTTTTGCCATGTAGAAGTCAAATTTTCAAAATGGTTTTTAGTTCTAAGCTTCTGTAGCGGAATTTTACAGATTTTAGTCAAAGTTCAATGTAGACTGAAAAGATGCATACCACACTTAACTTCCCCAGAAACGTTTTCGGAGTGCGTAATATCGAAGGAGAAAACCACTGTCACTATCGTAGACGAGGTTGACAGTGATGTTAAGTTGTATATCTTGTCATGAAAAGACAGCGTTTGCCAAAACTACCCGTCAAAGGTCATCAGGAAAACGAAGCTTAAAACTCAGTCTGAAATTTGGGCCTTGATCTTTATTGCAGTTTTGAGCTTGATGTTTCCTGTCTTCAGGTCAACAAAGTCATCAAGGTGCTGGAAGCGCAGAGTCTCATCAAGGAGGTCAAAGGTTTGGAAAGAAATTGATTGTGAATCTCTCTAAAGTGATCGAGGTTTTGGGTACGAACTGAAACGCTTTTATAAATATTCATAAGGCATGCAATTAAGTGTACCATGATTGTTTTTCTGAATTAAATTGTTAGGGAGTATAGACTTTCAGCCAATGGTTTTTACTAAGCACTGACAATAAATTCGAATTGATTTTGGGTGACATGAACTATTTTATGTCCAAGAGTTATTTTGCATAGAATTATTAATGTCCAAAACTATCTTGAAAACGTGGCAGACGGTAATTGAAAAAGCTTGCATCTAAATGGTTTGCTGAATGGCATGGCATGGCTTTGTAATTTGCAGGAGCTTCCGGACGCAAGAAGATGTACATCCTGTATGACCTTGAACTTGACCTGAACCAGTGCAGAAGTCCATGGGTGAATTTAGAGGGCGAGGCCGAGGTGGAGTTCATTCGAATAGTGCTGGACCAGTGCGAACGCTGTCTGCAAGAAAGGTCGACAGAGATCGTCAAATATGAAAACAAATAATAAATCCGCTTGCTAGGTCAAATTGCAAATAGTGAACAGAATTAAAAACAATATTGGATGAACCATGAAAAATCTACTTAAATTTTTTTCATATTTTAAAAAGACGGACGAATTTTCTTATAAATCCGCATAAGATCATTGAAATATTATATAAATTGGGTGAAACTTGTCGACTTTTGAAGGTCAGATCAAGCGAAAGAAAAATATCCTGACGATTCAATAACGCGACACCACGCATGTTTTGTTTCCATTGCCGAAATAGCCAGTCTGATCAAAGGACTGAACGTTAGCAAAGTGGACCTGAAGCCGCAGGATATAGAAGCTCTGATGGATCTGTGAGTGAACGATTTTTGAAATAATTTTGTCGTTTGCAATGATTTCATATCGAACTAGTTCCTAATCAACTTGCCAGTTCCCGCAATCCTCCTCATCAGAAATCATTTTTTTTCACGTGTTGCATCAGCTTTAAATGTCGATAGTTTCGACATTGGAAGTCCCAGGCTGATGGTCGGACTGAATTATAAATTTACTAAGATCGTCCGGGTTTTTCGTGGGTCGCAAATTGGACTTTCAACTTCTATGAACTCCTCCGAATGCTATTTTAAGCACTCTCTTTTTGTGTGATTCCATAGAAACGCTCCGGCCAAACTATCAATTTACAAAAAAAAATTGCGAAAATGTAAATGAAGTCACTATATTCCAAACAGTTATTATGCTTTGAAAACTGCCACTGCAAAAATGCATTTTGATTTCGCCTTCGCAAATTGAGTTAATAATCTACGAAGGGGTATTGAAAGTTGAGCAGCAAAGTTTTTGACAGACTTTTTCTGCCCTTTTGAAGATATTGACGTTGATGAGTTCAAATGTTAAAGTATGTTTTTCTGAGCTGAAATTAAAAAAAAGTTTTTTTTTTGTAAAATTTTTAAGATTTAAAAGTAAGTAAATTGTCAATTTGCTGAATCCATCTGGGTAAATTACTAAATTTTCATTTGTTGGTCTGTTTTGTTCATGGTTTTCTGAGAAGATAAGGGACAAGAACCCTATATCACTAATTTTTCGAGCTAAAGAGCTGAAACAATTTGAACAGAAATGTAACTTGCGTGTTTGCAAGGAAAATGGCGAAAAAAATTACCTGTCAGTTATATGAGCGTCAGATGCGTCTAAGCACAATTTTAGAAGCCGTCATCCAAAAATTTATGGTAAAAGATTCTCGCTTTGAGCTATCAATGGTCGAAGCACAGAAAAGGGGAAGACATCCCGCATTATTCTAAATCTGCCAATGAAGTGAACTCCTACAATTTTTCCCTATGAAAACATTTAACAATTTGACCGGCTAGTTTTGTTTAGTCTCGTGTACGATAGCAAAGCGGAAAAGAACGTGAAAGGGTCTACCGAATTGGAGCACTCGACCTCGTACAAATTGATCCCATCGTTGCTCCCCCCTTCGGGATTAGTGTGTACACCCTGTGGAATTTGTCCGGTGAAAAAAGACTGCTCCCCAATCGGAGATATCACGCCGGTTACTTGTGAATACTTCAACGACTATTGGCTGCCAAATCAAACTGGCTTCTAGCGTGATCAGTTGTCCTAAACAAAGCCAGATCCAGCAAAAACAAATATTTTGAAACATTCTGTTGTTCTCTGTTTGGAGATGGACTTGAGTTTATTTTAATTTACGACTGTCTTTACTTTGTAATTCACAGTGATGAATAGTTGTTGAAACAATTCGCTGCTTTGGATTGATTCAAGCAGGTAAATGGATAAAACAAAGCGAATATTATGATAGTTTTTTTGCCAAAAAATTTATGACAGAAGTAGAAGAAATTGTTTGAAAATTTAACTCATATTACTTGAGTTCATTGCGAAGCTGGTTGGTTATTGTTAACTTTTTGGAATGGTACCCAGGAAATTTGTTAAAATTGAGATAGCAAAAGTTATATAATTGTTGCTTCACTTTTTTTGCCTAACAACTGTCTAATTATTAGCAAATCAGCGAACCTCTGACCCATTCGATATATTAAAGATTGCAGCTTTTCCACCAAGGTGAGACATCTCTTGTGTCGATGCTTCAAAAACGGACATAAAGAGTACTCGGGGGGTTGAAAGTTCGTTTTGTTGTTTTCTGAACTTTTCGGAACTGCTTTTCATCAGCTCAATTGGCGTCTTTCCAAGTATTGTCGGCAGAGGTCTTTACTGTGTATATTTTATTTCAATGCTCATCAGGCATTGAGTAGCTTTTGTTGCACTTTCTGTCACCATTTTTGATTGCACGTATCGCCAGTGTGTTTGCATTTATCGCGGAAGATGCAAAACTCCACTTAATAACTTTATCAAAAACTTTACTTGCTAAAAAAGTTTCTCTCGAATATGGCTCATGATAGTTAATACTCTTATGTTTAGGTTATGTGACTAAACATGGAGTTAATTTTAAATCAGTTTCCTCGTTATTGATTAATTTTATTTTTGATATAATACCAATATACCATCGTGTGCAAGTTTGGTCTAATTTTTTTCGAATTTGGTCACATCATAGAAAATGGCAAAAAAAATAAAATTGGAACTTGTAACAATTTTTCGGCAATTCACTTTTTTTTCGGCAATCAAGCATTTTTCTGACTGATCTAAATTATTTTTTTTTGAAGTAAAGCCATATCCAAATCAGCGTTACTGAAACTTTTTTAAAGCACTGAAATTGAAATGATCAATACCTTAAACCAGGGGCAGATTTAGCGGGAGAGGGGGGGCGGACGCCTCTTCTTCTTCTTCTTTTGTCATTTACGCCCCGTGAGGGGGCCTTGATTCCCAGTTTCCAGGACATGTGATCCTGTGTCTTGAAATGTTGTTTTTTGTCACCCAAGTACCGCATTCTTCGCATTGAATTCTGGCTCTCGTTCCGGCGAATCGTCCTGTGATAATGGTGTTGGTTACTTCTGGGGCTGTCGGGTGCTCTCCTCGACAGGTCCTCCGGTGTCTTGCCATGTTGCTCAACGACAGGGACTTCTGACACTTCGGACAGAACCCACCCTGACCTCCTTGGCACGCCTTGAAGTGGTTCGTCAGAGCAGCCTGGTCCGAAAAACTGTCGTTGCTTTTTGGACACTTGTAGTCCACTGACTCCCTTCTGTGTGCTTTTCTCTCGTGATTCGTCCGTCCTCCTTTTGATGCGCACTTGTCGCATCCGTCCCAGCGGCAAGGCCAACCGCTGTCACTTATTCTCTCTCGATTCCATTGTGAGCGGGCCGGTTTTTCCGATCCTGTGTGCCAGTTGCACATTTGCGTCTCCCAGTTTTTGAGGAACGTCCTGCGATCTGTAACGGTCTTCTTCCATCGTTTCCGGTCATTGGTGAGGTTCTCGCTGTTGTCGTCTTCATGTCCCGCTTCTTTCAGCAGTCTGCGCCAGTACTGGATGGTGTTGCCTCGCGAGTTCCCACTGCGTGTCCTCTCCATGTCCCAGGATCCGAGGACGGCTTTCTTCACAATCCTCTCATCCGACATTAGAGAGGATTTTTGAAGCACTGAAATTGAAATGATCTATACCTTAAACCAGGGGCAGATTTAGCGGGAGAGGGGGGCGGACGCCTCTCCTCCTCTGTTCTTTTCTGTTTCCCACTTACGCCCCTCGGGGGGCCGCGGGTGGTTCGTTCTGGCACTTCCTCTCATGCTTGGCTAGGTTATTAGCAGTGATCCAGGCTCCGCAGGATCCACACTCTTTCCTCTCCCTGGTCCCCGTGTACCTGTTACCTCCCGTCTCCCTTGCCGCCGTGTTCCCTACCGTTCCACTCCCTCCTCCGCAACTCCTCCTATGACTCGCCATATTACCCCTTGTTACCGTCACCGCGCAGTCCCCACACCTACCCATCTGGTCCCCCTTACAGCTCTTGCTGTGTTTTGTTAAGTTGTGCTTCTCCGCGAAAGTTCTGTTGCATCTATCGCATTTAAACACCCTCTCCTGTATCCTGTGAACTCGTCGTTCATGCTGCACTAGACCTCCTTTCGTTTTACAAATTCGTCCGCATCCCTCCCACCTGCATGTTAAGTTTTCTCCCTGATACCTCGCCTGGCTCCTTCTAGGTTTCTCCCCTCCCCTGTATCTGCACATTTCACTCTCCCATTTCTCTAGCGCTTCTTTTCTCCTTTTCACTGTCGCCTTCCATTTTTTCCGGTCCTGTGTTAAATTTTCTATATTCGTCCAGTCCTCTCCCGCTTCCCTTATGAGTCGCCTCCAGTAATTAACCACGCCTCCATTTAACCTACCCTGTTGTGTTCTCTCGTTTGTCCAGTGCCCTAGTATAACTTTTTTAGTTGTCCTGTTGTTGCTCATCCGAAGGACGTGGCCCATCCTTTCCAACGCCCGCGTCTCTATTTTTGTTCTGATAGATGTTATCCCCAGAACCCTGCGTATCTCGAAACTATTGACCCCCTCTCTTTCCATTCGCAAGAGTGTTAAACCTCTCCCCTCATTCCATATCCACCGGTAGCATTTATCCGCCATGCTCTGCATCTTCGCCATATCAGTCACTGTCCATGCTCTTGCACTGCAGTCAAAGAGCATTGTTGATTCGACCACTGCCTGTACAATAATTGCCTTCGTTCGTTTACTGACCTTTGTTTTCCACAACCATCTTCTTACTTTTGACCACGCCCAGTATCCCCTTTTAATCCTCGCTGCCCTGTCCTGCTTCCTCCCTATTAGCGTCCCTAACATCCTCGTACAATTCGCTGTCTCGCTTCCAAAAGCTATGTATTCCTCTTTTCCGTTGTGACATTTTTCCTCGAACTTCATCATTTCTGCCTTGACCGCGTCTTTGCCGACCGCTAATTCTTCCGTCCAGCCCAGGAGAGTTGGTCGTCTGCGAAAAGGGACTCTTCTAATCGAAAGACTTCCTGGGTGCTGCTCCTTAAGGCCCTCTTTACTTCTATTGGAGGGAGACTATTACCTGGTCCCCACGACCATTCTAGACCGCACTCTTCGCCTATCTCCGCCGCTTTTTCTCTTCGTTTTTTGGCAGCTAACCGCATCGCCTGTGCGTGATACACATTGAAAAGTATCGGAGATGTAGCGCAACCCTCCCGTAGACCTCGTACCGGTAACCATTCCTCGCTTAGTTCCCCTCGACCCTTAACTTTGTATTTCGTTCCTTCATGCAGGTTTTTCAAGACCTCTATCACACCCTCTGTCATTCCTAAGTTTTCCAAAACCATCCACAATAAGGGCCTGTTGACTCGGGGGTATGCTTTTGTTATATCTAACAGTACAGCTCCCGGTCGTCTCCGCCTTCCCCAATACCCTCCTTGTTTCCTCATCTATTCTCAGTATGATTTGCGTTGCGTCACACGTCGATCGTCCTTCTCTGAAACCATTTTGATTCTCACCACATGCCTCTATGTTCTCCGCCCATTTTCTAATCCTACTCGTTAGTATCCTTGCCATTATCCTGCTCAACACCGGGAGTAGGCACACACCCCTGTAGTTGTCTAGTTCATTTCTAGCTCCTTTCTTATGTAGGGGTATGACCCATCCTTCCTTAGCTTTGTCGGCCCAGTTCTCAACCGGTGTGGCTAATTGTTCCATCATGCATTGGTATAGTTCTTTCCGGGTGTCTATACTTAAGGCTTTCACTGCGCTAACACTTACATTGTCTACTCCTGCCGCTCCGTCTTTCATGTTCGCCAGTTCTCGTTCGAATTCCACGAAGGTTATTGCTTCTTCCATCTCTTCCGCTGCTGCCTTTGCCTCTGGAGAGTCCTTAATTTCTGTTGACGATGCCGTTCTCATTATCTCTATGACGTCCCGCTCGTATCTGTCTTCCGAGACTTTCATGAAGTGTCGTCTGAACTCTTCTGGCGAGAAAAATTCTTCTTCTATGTTCTGGAGGTCTTTCCCCCCTAAGTACCTTAGTGTCTTGTACATGCGTCTTATATCCCCTTTCACTTCGGCGTCCTTTGTTTCGTCTACCAGTTTAAGCCACCACTCTTCTTCCCATCTTCTTTTAGCCTTCTTGTACTCTTTCCTGACCTCCTGCCTTTGTATTTTAAAGTTTTCCGTTCGTGTTCGTTCAAAACTCTTCGTAAGTGCCCCGATCCTCCGTTTGAACCCCTGTATTTCTTCTAAATGCGTATCCAGCCATGGACTCAGTGCTTTCTTTTCTTTAAATCCGCACACTTCTGTACCCGCTTCATTAATCAAGTTGATTAGGCGTTCACTTTCCTCACCCGTACCCTGTTGCTCTCTTTTACCGTCTACTGTCGATGCGAATGCTTGCCGGATTGATCCATCTCGAAGAGCTTCCCAGTTTATTTTCCTTTGAGTCTCACTTTTCCTATTTGCCTTCGCCCCCTTCCTTCTCCAGACCTCCATGCATTTCGGCCTGTGGTCCGATTGAGATGTACCCGCTATTACCGTGTTTATACTCTTCACTACCCTGCTCCGGTCTTTTTTCTTCACCATGAATCCGTCAATTTCGTGCCATGTTCTTCTTCCTGGGCACTTCCAGGTTCCCCTCCTGTTGTGCCTAAAGAAGGAGCTAGTCCAGGTTAACCCCTGTTCGTGACACCATTCTAATAGATCCCTCCCCGCCGCGTTGGTCCTACCCAGTCCGAATGGTCCTACCGCGTCATCTTCTTCCCTCTGGGAGGTGTCCCCTACACTGGAGTTGAAGTCGCCTCCTAGTACTAGCTTTTTTGCGCCACATCTGATCATTTCGTTTAGCTCTTCTCTATACGCATCGAAATCCCGTCTATATACATCTTAGGATTTCTGCAAAACGATTCCGTCTAGGGAACGAGACTCTCGCCCCCTGTATGTTCCACGTCCATACCCTTGTTGCTTTACCTTTCCCCTTCGTCTTTGCTTCCCTTTCCCTCTTTTCTGCTCTGGTCTTTTGCACCTTCTCCCTACGTTTCCGTTTTTCTGTTCGTCTTCTTTCCCTTATCTCTCGCTTTCCTCCCTCTCCTTTACACCAGGAGCACCGGTCGCATACAAACTCATCTGAGTATCCCTTGATACTCCGCAAGCTTGTGCATTTCATGTGGACATACCCCTCTTAATGACACCACACGCTTATCTGCCGCCTATCCTTGATTTCCTTCCCACAGATCGGACATACGTAGGTTTCAGGACCTGGGTTTCGTTCCACGTCTCCTGCCCTCACCAAAAGCTGGACCCAGTATGCAGGTTTACCCGGTCCAGCTGCCAAAAACTCGCCAAACATGAGAATGGTGCTCGTCCGAGAACCATTGATCGCCTTTGTTTTCCCACTGGAGTCGGCTGGTCCCCGTGGTGTTTGATAGGAGGGGGGTGTCCGACTTCTTTGCCTTGGCTGGGTAAGTCGTTCCTTCCCACACTCCCCTGGTGTACGTTTTGTTTGCAGCGCTTTTCCCCACTCGAAGGGAGTACACCTCGAAAAGCCCTCCTCCTATTGAAAGCCCTCCTCCTCCTCCTCCTCCTCCTCCTCCCCAAACTCAGGGTTCCACCAACTGCCGACCCAAAGGGTTCCACCAAGGTGAGACATCTCTTGTGTCGATGCTGTAAAAACGGACAAAGAGTATTCGGGGGATTGAAAGTTCGTTTTCTTGTTTTCTGAAATTTTCGGAACTTGAAATTTGAAAGCGGCCCTTTGTACTATTTTGAGATACCAATTTTTGGTGAATGAGCCTAAAATTTTTCTAAAAGCGCTTTTGGTGCCAATATATATTTCAGGTGGAGCGCGCGCTGAAAAAACGCGATTTTTTGGTCAATATTTTCCAAAATGTGCCTAAAATTTTTCCATAAAAAACTTTTGGCCTGTTTTTTTTCGAAAATTTGCCAGTGGCGCACGAAAATCTGGTCAAAACAAGGTTTTTTTGTGCTTTGGGGAGCGCGCAAAATGGAAAATCAATTCGATCGACCTAAAAAAAAAACGTCGACAAAAATTTTCAAAATCCGCCCGTCTAGAAAATCCTGGATATGCCCCTGCTTTGAACCTAGTATAGTTATTTTTTTGAGCTTTTTGAACTATAAGTTAACAAAAAATTAAAATAAAATTTTAGTTGAAAAATAAGTTTACTCCGTTCAGGCAAAAACTTTACTCCTTTCAAGCAAAAAGTATAGGAGCCAAATCGTTGCCTAAAAGTATTTAAGCCAAATCGTTAGCCGCAACTTAAAGGACCTGGGTAATATCGAGTGCGTTTTCGGAGTGCGTAATATCAAAGGAGAAAACCACTGTCACTATCGCAGACGAGGTTGACAGTGATGTTAAGTTGTATATCTTGTCATGAAAAGACAGCGTTTGCCAAAACTACCCGTCAAAGGTTATCAGGAAAACGAAGCTTAAAACTCAGTCTGAATATTGGGCCTTGATCTTTATTGCAGTTTTGAGCTTGATGTTTCCTGTCTTCAGGTCAACAAAGTCATCAAGGTGCTGGAAGCGCAGAGTCTCATCAAGGAGGTCAAAGGTTTGGAAAGAAATTGATTGTGAATCTCTCTAAAGTGATCAAGGCTTTGGGTACGAACTGAAACGCTTTTTTAAATATTCATAAGGCATGCAATTGAGTGTACCATGATTGTTTTTCTGAATTAAATTGTTAGGGAGTATAGACTTTCAGCCAATGGTTTTTACTAAGCACTGACAATAAATTCGAATTGATTTTGGGTGACATGAACTATTTTATGTCCAAGAGTTATTTTGCATAGAATTATTAATGTCCAAAATTATCTAGAAAACGGGAGACGGTATTTGAAAAAGCTTGCATCAAAATGGTTTGCTGAATGGCATGGCATGGCTTTGTAATTTGCAGGAGCTTCCGGACGCAAGAAGATGTACATCCTGTATGACCTTGAACTTGACCTGAACCAGTGCAGAAGTCCATGGGTGAATTTAGAGGGCGAGGCCGAGGTGGAGTTCATTCGAATAGTGCTGGACTAGTGCGAACGCTGTCTGCAAGAAAGGTCGACAGAGATCGTCAAATATGAAAACAAATAATAAATCCGCTTGCTAGGTCAAATTGCAAATAGTGAACAGAATTAAAAACAATATTGGATGAACCATGAAAAATCTACTTAAATTTTTTTCATATTTTAAAAAGACGGACGAATTTTCTTATAAATCCGCATAAGATCATTGAAATATTATATAAATTGGGTGAAACTTGTCGACTTTTGAAGGTAAGATCAAGCGAAAGAAAAATATCCTGACGATTCAATAACGCGACACCACGCATGTTTTGTTTCCATTGCCGAAATAGCCAGTCTGATCAAAGGACTGAACGTTAGCAAAGTGGACCTGAAGCCGCAGGATATAGAAGCTCTGATGGATCTGTGAGTGAACAATTTTTGAAATAATTTTGTCGTTTGCAATGATTTCATATCGAACTAGTTCCTAATCAACTTGCCAGTTCCCGCAATCCTCCTCATCAGAAATCATTTTTTTTCACATGTTGCATCAGCTTTAAATGTCGATAGTTTCGACATAGGAAGTCCCAGGCTGATGGTCGGACTGAAATTTAAATTTACTAAGATCGTCCGGGTTTTTCGTGGGTCGCAAATTGGACTTTCAACTTCTATGAACTCCTCCGAATGCTATTTTAAGCACTCTCTTTTTGTGTGATTCCATAGAAACGCTCCGGCCAAACTATCAATTTACAAAAAAAAAATTGCGAAAGTGTAAATGAAGTCACTATATTCCAAACAGTTATTATGCTTTGAAAACTGCCACTGCAAAAATGCATTTTGATTTCGCCTTCGCAAATTGAGTTAATAATCTACGAAGGGGTATTGAAAGTTGATCAGCAAAGTTTTTGACAGACTTTTTCTGCCCTTTTGAAGATATTGACGTTGATGAGTTAAAATGTTAAAGTATGTTTTTCTGAGCTGAAATTTAAAAAAAGTTTTTTTTTTGTAAAATTTTTAAGATTTAAAAATAAGTAAATTGTCAATTTGCTGAATCCATTTGGGTAAATTACTAAATTTTTAATTTTTTGGTATGTTTTATTTATGGTTTTTTCAGAAGATAAGGGACAAGAACCCTATATCACTAATTTTTTGAGCTAAAGAGCTGAAACAGTTTGAACAAATGTAAAAAAAATTACCTGTCAAGTATATGAGCGTCAGATGCGCCTAAGCACAATTTTAGAAGCCGTCATCCAAAAATTTATGGTAAAAGATTCTCGCTTTGAGCTATCAATGGTCGAAGCATTGAGAAAAAGGGGGGGGGGGTCATCCCGCATTATTCTAAATCTGCCCATGAAGTGAACTCCTACAATTTTTCCCTATGACAACATTTAACAATTTGACCGGCTAGTTTTGTTTAGTCTGGTGTACGATAGCAAAGCGGAAAAGAACGTGAAAGGGTCTACCGAATTGGAGCACTCGACCTCGTACAAATTGATCCCATCGTTGCTCCCCCCTTCGGGATTAGTGTGTACACCCTGTGGAATTTGTCCGGTGAAAAAAGACTGCTCCCCAATCGGAGATATCACGCCGGTTACTTGTGAATACTTCAACGACTATTGGCTGCCAAATCAAACTGGCTTCTAGCGTGATCAGTTGTCCTAAACAAAGCCAGATCCAGCAAAAACAAATATTTTGAAACATTCTGTTGTTCTCTGTTTGGAGATGGACTTGAGTTTATTTTAATTTACGACTGTCTTTACTTTGTAATTCACAGTGATGAATAGTTGTTGAAACAATTCGCTGCTTTGGATTGATTCAAGCAGGTAAATGGATAAAACAAAGCGAATATTATGATAGTTTTTTTGCCAAAAAATTTATGACAGAAGTAGAAGAAATTGTTTGAAAATTTAACTCATATTACTTGAGTTCATTGCGAAGCTGGTTGGTAATTGTTAATTTTTTGGAATGATACCAGTGAAATTTGTTGAAGTTGAGATAGCAAAAATTATATATTGTTGCTTCACTTTTTTTGTCTAATTATTAGCAAATCAGCGAACCTCTGACACATTCGATATATCAAAGATTGCAGCTTTTCCACTAAGGTGAGACATCTCTGTCGATGCTTAAAAAACGGACATAAAGAGTACTCGGGGGGTTGAAAGTTCGTTTTGTTGTTTTCTGAACTTTTCGGAACTGCTTTTCATCAGCTCAATTGGCGTCTTTCCAAGTGTTGTCGGCAGAGGTCTTACTTTGTATATTTTATTTCAATGCTCATCAGGCATTGAGTAGCTTTAGTTGCATTTTCTGTCACAATTTTTGATTGCACGTATCGCCAGTGTGTTTGCATTTATCGCGGAAGATGCAAAACTCCACTTAATAACTTTATCAAAAACTTTACTTGCTAAAAAAGTTTCTCTCGAATATGGCTCATGGTAGTTAATACTCTTATGTTTAGGTTATGTGACTAAACATGGAGTTAATTTTAAATCAGTTTCCTCGTTATTGATTAATTTTATTTTTGATATAATACCAATATACCATCGTGTGCAAGTTTGGTCTAATTTTTTTTGAATTTGGTCACATCATAGAAAATGGCAAAAAAAAATAAAATTGGAACTTGTAACAATTTTTCGGCAATTCACTTTTTTTTCGGCAATCAAGCTTTTTTCTGACTGATCTAAATTATTTTTTTTGAAGTAAAGCCATATCCAAATCAGCGTTACTGAAACTTTTTTAAAGCACTGAAATTGAAATGATCAATACCTTAAACCAGGGGCAGATTTAGCGGGAGAGGGGGGGCGGACGCCTCTTCTTCTTCTTCTTTTGTCATTTACGCCCCGTGAGGGGGCCTTGATTCCCAGTTTCCAGGACATGTGATCCTGTGTCTTGAAATGTTGTTTTTTGTCACCCAAGTACCGCATTCTTCGCATTGGATTCTGGCTCTCGTTCCGGCGAATCGTCCTGTGATAATGGTGTTGGTTACTTCTGGGGCTGTCGGGTGCTCTCCTCGACAGGTCCTCCGGTGTCTTGCCATGTTGCTCAACGACAGGGACTTCTGACACTTCGGACAGAACCCACCCTGACCTCCTTGGCACGCCTTGAAGTGGTTCGTCAGAGCAGCCTGGTCCGAAAAACTGTCGTTGCACTTTGGACACTTGTAGTCCACTGACTCCCTTCTGTGTGCTTTTCTCTCGTGATTCGTCCGTCCTCCTTTTGATGCGCACTTCTTGTCGCATCCGTCCCAGCGGCAAGGCCAACCGCTGTCACTTATTCTCTCTCGATTCCATTGTGAGCGGGCCGGTTTTTCCGATCCTCTGTGCCAGTTGCACATTTGCGTCTCCCAGTTTTTGAGGAACGTCCTGCGATCTGTAACGGTCTTCTTCCATCGTTTCCGGTCATTGGTGAGGTTCTCGCTGTTGTCGTCTTCATGTCCCGCTTCTTTCAGCAGTCTGCGCCAGTACTGGATGGTGTTGCCTCGCGAGTTCCCACTGCGTGTCCTCTCCATGTCCCAGGATCCGAGGACGGCTTTCTTCACAATCCTCTCATCCGACATTAGAGAGGATTTTTAAAGCACTGAAATTGAAATGATCAATACCTTAAACCAGGGGCAGATTTAGCGGGAGAGGGGGGGCGGACGCCTCTCCTCCTCCTCCTCCTCCTCCCCAACCTCAGGGTTCCACCAACTGCCGACCCAAAGGGTTCCACCAAGGTGAGACATCTCTTGTGTCGATGCTGTAAAAACGGACAAAGAGTATTCGGGGGATTGAAAGTTCGTTTTCTTGTTTTCTGAAATTTTCGGAACTTGAAATTTGAAAGTGTCCCTTTGTACTATTTTGAGATACCAATTTTTGGTGAATGAGCCTAAAATTTTTCTAAAAGCGCTTTTGGTGCCAATATATATTTCAGGTGGAGCGCGCGCTGAAAAAACGCGATTTTTTGGTCAATAATTTCCAAAATGTGCCTAAAATTTTTCCATAAAAAAACTTTTGGACTGTTTTTTTTCGAAAATTTGCCAGTGGCGCACGAAAATCTGGTCAAAACAAGGTTTTTTTTGTGCTTTGGGGAGCGCGCAAAATGGAAAATCAATTCGATCGACCTAAAAAAAAACGTCGAAAAAAATTTTCAAAATCCGCCCGTCTAGAAAATCCTAGATATGCCCCTGCTTTGAACCTAGTATAGTTATTTTTTTGAGCTTTTTGAACTATAAGTTAACAAAAAATTAAAATAAAATTTTAGTTGAAAAATAAGTTTACTCCGTTCAGGCAAAAACTTTACTCCTTTCAAGCAAAAAGTATAGGAGCCAAATCGTTGCCTAAAAGTATTTTAGCCAAATCGTTAGCCGCAACTTAAAGGACCTGGGTAAAAAAACTTCGAACTATCTAAACTAAAAAATTGAAACGAGCTCTTTTCTGCGCTATATTTAAATATACGTGTAATCTTGAAAATCATATCAATGATTTCGATTGAACGTTACAAAAATGTTGAAAATTTGTTGAACTTCATTCTGTTAAATTTTTTCTCACACGCATATAAATTTCAAAATGACAAATCTTGTTACACTAATCGCAAAATTTTGCTTATTGAGCTTGCTTCATTTCAGTTTTCAATTAATTTTTGAGCCGGATTAACTTGCTACTTATGCTAGTCTTTGTAAAACTTGGAAAATCCGCCCCTCTTATCTATCTCAAGACTTCATAACTTCACAAAATATAGACACAATTGAAAATTTCAAAAAAGGTTTTTCTCGACAGGAGAAAACTAATCCGAAGAACAAAAGATCCCCAAGTAAGAAAGTATTTCTTTAACTTTCCTAAAAGAAGGATCTAAAGTCAAATTTCGGAAGCATTTCGGAATCTAAAGTCAAATTTCTGAATAAAAAAGTAATACCGTGAAAAAGCGTATTTCTTCAACTTTCCTAAAAGAAGAATCAAAAATCAAATTTTGGAAGCATAATGCTGAATAATAAAATAATACTGTGAAAAAGCGTCCTCGCAAAAACGGGCTGACGCTTGCCTTAAATCAATTAGTAATTAATTTTTGCTAACAATCAATATTTTGTATGACAAAAAGAAGAAAACACTGTCCGGAAAACTATATCATGGAGTCCAGGTAAAGAGGAGCTCAAATTTGTTTCTTTTATTTATTTATTCGCTTCTTATTTATTCGCTTTTATTTATTTATTCAATCGCAACTTGAGCCGAACTGTAAATTTTTAATAATAAAAAGATAAAGTACTCTTTTCAGATAAAGTACTGACTACAATTCACTCATTAAAGTCACTTTTTTGCTTGTTTTCCAATTTGATGATTAAAAATTGGCTTTGATTTCAACACATTTAAAGAATTACGAGAAGTACCTATTTAATTCTTTGTAGTTCAGTCCATTTAAAAAAAAAACATTTTTTAAATTGTAATTCATTGTATCTCAAGTAAACTCTTGAAATAAATAAATTGACTTTTTTGCAGGTAACCGTTTTCATTTTGACATCATTTTCCGATAATGTGTTGATGCCATGAAATTTATTTGGAAGGAAACTTGGTGGAAGGAAAATTTCAAAGGAAATCACTTTAAAAACACTCAGTCTTTCTCAAAACAAAACAAAAATTTGTCAGACGTGCTTTTCAGACTGTCGGACAATCTTTCCAAGTCTGTCGGACAAATTGGATTATAGAAAAAAGTTTGTCCGAAAGGGAAAAATGGCCACATCAGAGTGATTTTTTAAATAAGCAAAAGCATTTGCCTCATTTAGTTTCTAACAGATTGTTTCAGTCATAGATTACGACGACTAATAGATAATCTTGATCTATCAGAAATTCTTCATTTTTTTATTTACACTGCGATAACAAGATATTTTTGAACAAAAACTTGAAATCGAGCCAAGGCTTGACTATAAAAAGTTGAGTCATGGAGAAATTGCGCCTAAACTGAGAGTGTTACAGGTCCTAAAAAGAAATATATTGCCGCCTTATCAACTTTCAACACAAAAAATAAGATCAGAAAATATCTCTGTGTTGTCGTGAAAGAGTTATCGATTGGAATTTGAATATCGATAGGAACATTCGGATTTAAAAAAAGCAGCGTAATATAGATACAATCAGAACACTTATGAAAATGAAGGTGAAAATTTTGAAAATGAACGAAGACAAAAATTAAAATAGCAACAAAGGGTAAGAACTGCAAATGTTGCTGAGCATAATTTTTCCGCGAATGTCGAACTTGAAGAAAATGGATTCGACGGTTGTTTCGAATCCCGGATGTTTCATGAGGTTTTTGAAGATATATTTTGTAGTCGAAATGCCCGGCGTTCAAACATTTTGTTGTTCAAATCTAGCGGCTGAAAAAGGAAGTAGTGACCCAACAGCTTTTTCAATTTCTGCTTTCGTTTTTATTTTTCGGAGGCAGTACTTTATAATTCTTTAGTTTCTTAATATTAAGACTGACGTTTCTCAGCACTCTAACTATCTCAGGGAATTTAGAACGAACCAGCGCCATCAAAGATTATTTTACTACTTTAGTCGACAAAACTTAATCTGTATACCTTCTCAAAATCCAATTTTTCAGGATTTTTGAAAGCGTTTTAGTTTGATGTATTTTACTTGGATTTACAACGTTCCATTTGGTCTTTACTTGGATTTTAAAATCGATAACAAATTATCTCAGCTGACATCCATGTAATTAAAACACACTTTTCATTCACGAATTGTCTTTGTATCGTGAACAAAAGTTTTAGCATTAATTTTGATTTCAATGCACTCATTAAAAATTTCTGATAGAAAATTCAGTGGAAAACTTGATCATTCAGAAATAAAAGGCTGATCTTTTCAATAAGAAAACTCTTTTTAAGATGAAATATCAAGCAAATATTCTATTAACAACTCAACTAATTCCTAATTCTCACACCTTGCTAGGAAAAAACACAAGCGGCGCTACTTAAGAAAAGACTTAAGCGGCGCGATTTAAGATAAGACTGGCGGCGCGACTTAAGAAAAGACTTAAGCGGCGCGACTTAAGAAAAGACTGACGGCGCGACTTAAGAGAAGACCGAAGCCGCGATTTAAGAAAAAACTTAAGCGGTGCGACTTAACATAAGACCGACGGCGCGACTTGAGAAAAAAACTTAAGCGGCGCGACTTAAGATAAGACCGACGGCGCGACTTAAGAAAAAACGTTTGGTATTGTGCTCAGTCGCGCATGTCGTGGCGGTTTATTCTCGGTCGCGATGGTCTGAAATTGAAAAATTTCAGTCGCGCCGGTCGCGCCATTACCTTAGGCTCGACCTAATGTATCAATATATAAAAATTTTCTAACTGCGCATGAACCAAAACGTATTTCTAGTTTTCACAACCAGTCTCAATTTTTTTTTCACACACACAAGAGGCAATATCATCTGATGCACCCTATTCAAAACGATTAAATCAACTGCAAAAAGTTGGAACAACTTACAAAACAACATAGGACTTTCAAACGCTTTTTTGCAAAACAAGCGTTAAGGTAGATAAAATAAGGAATCGACAGCCCACTGAAAAAACTATCAATGTCCAAAAAAAGAACAAAAACAATTTTTAGAGAAATAAAATTGAATACAATGCAATATTGGCTGTTACATCAAGCGAGAAACTTTATTATAGGTTTGATGAAATCAACAAAACAAAATCCGTCACCATGGTCGCTTTAACACAGATAGAACTCAGGAAATAACACTTAAATAAACCGTGAACTAATTTTAAAACTATTATTTTCAATTGTACATCTCTTTTTACAGTTCACATTGCATAATTTGCCTATACAAACTTCATAATAATTTTCAAGAAAATTTCGAAAAAAGAAGTGTTGTTAGAAACAAAAAAGAGTTAGATTCTAGGGATGCTAATTTTCAAGGGTACCTACTCAAAAAAAAAATTGATTTGGACAAACAAATCATCCCGTAAAGCTACCTGCAGTTTTCACATAAATACGCCTAAATGCGATGAAAAAAATGCTTGAGAAAAACTAGAATTGAAATTTCATAGACAAATGAACGAATGTTTGAATTAGATTTAAAAATATCAATTTCTAGATGATTTAGTGGCGAAGTGTTGAGTTTTTGAAACAAAGACAAATGTTACCAAAAAGGCGCAACAGAAATTTCACCCACACAAAGTGTTTAGTGACAAAGTGTTGAGGTTTGGAAAGAAAAACAAATGTTAACGAAAACGCGCAACAGAAGTTTCACCTACGAAACGTCAATAATATAAAATCGCAATTTGCCGCTAGGAATTTGGGTAATTCGGGAACAATTGACAAAGTCATAGAAGCTGATGTTTGAGTGCCAATTTTTCGAGGTCAAGAAGAGAAAAGTCTCTTTTCGTTTGACTGAAACGTCTCATGGTCGGAAAGTTTCTGGATTAAAATTATACTAATGGCACATAATGCGTTTTGGAAACCAAAATCAACAACGACTAATTGACCCGCTGTTTTTAACGGATGGGTTAAATCATTTAACGGAAATAGTTCGAAAACATCCATTTTGGTCGGGCCAAAATAATGACCAGATCTACTAGAAAAACTTTGAAA